CCGAAAGGTTTGGCCCTGGGTCTCCGCAGAAGAGACAGCGGCACCCTACCCCGCGGTGTGATCTTGAGCCCCTAAGCCCATCCAGGTCTCAGTGTCCCCGTCTGTAGAGGGAGAATGGACCCGAAGCTGGCAGCCCTGGCAAGGGGTGGAGGACAGAGGAGGGCTGTGGTGCCGCCCTGGTCGCGCCTTCCTCTCCTGAGCGCCCCTTCCGGCATGGCCCCTCTTGAGTCCCTCCAGTCGAGGGCTGGGTTCTTCCTTTCGCTCATCCCTGCAACAACAGCGTGCTGAGTGTCTGCCACCAGCGGCTCGGGTGTCCTCTGGGTGAGCAGGAGCGACCCTGCCCTTGCCAGTTTGAGGCCCAGGCCTGGAGAAGGAGGCAGGCACACGTAAACACCGCTTATAACATCACCCAATGATTTTACCACGGAGAAATAGTAAGGCCACCATCATTGAGTGCTGATGAGCTGGAACCTCTGCCTGAATCATCTCAACAGCTTTAAGTGGGCTCCATTGATGACTCTGTTTTGCAGATATGGAAACTGAGGCACAGAGAGCCCAAATGACAGATGTGTGTCTAATCCCAGAGCCCCTGTACTCTGTGTGGTGAGGGTCAAGGGTAGCCACCTGAAGACTCACAGATGCTTCCTGTCACCATTGTCCTGCAATGGGACTCTTGTGGAGATGGCTGGTCTGCGGGCCTTCGCTCGGTGGTGAGGGGTAGGTAGGTGACTATTTCAGATCCTCTCGGCTGAGAGGCAAAGTCTGGTAGGATCGGAGATCAGGTGACATGGTCTTACTGACCCCAGATTTCCTACCCTCCTGCAAAGGAGAAAGTCTTTTTCCCTGGGAAGTGTTGCGCTACAGCAAAGGGTTGCTGAGGACAGACACTGAAGTAGTGCCAGGGCAGGGTTTCCAGGCGTTTGATCTTCTATCCTCACGCCAAGCCCATAACGTAGGAGCTGTCGTCTCACTTTCCAGCCAAGTGGTTGAGATCTGCAGTGTCGTTATTTCTCCAGGATCCTGTGATGAACCAAAGTCGGGGCTGGATTTCAACCTCCGTCTGCCTGAGCCTCACGCCAGAGCTGCCATCACCTGCTACCTGCTCGGTGGCGATCTGTATCCCGTATGGGAGCTGAGGCTCACGTGTAACCACGCCATCTGGGTTGGCACTGCTGGTCCCTCGAGGGTGACAGTGGCTCAGACCAGGGTGGTAGCTGTGGTGGGGGCTCTGGCTCAGTGGTAGGGTGACAGGTTTCTGTATGGTTTGGATGTGACCTTTGAAACCACCTCCTTTCTACTGGGAGTCCTTTTCCTCCTGTCTCCACTCCAGTCTGCGTTTCTAGACTGCACATCTGACAGTGGCTCTCCTGATGTAAGAGCTCCAGGTATGCCTGGCTGCCTGCAAAGATGATGGCATGGAGCACCTTCTCCAGACACCCAGCCTGGAACACGGGTGCCAGGGTGCCCACCCGACGAGAATCACTGTCCCCTGGGTGCCTCCTCTACTCTTCTGCACAAATTCTGTTCCACCTATGACCTTGCTCAGTCTCAAGACCCAGAAAGAAGGTCCCCTGGGCGGCCTTGCTGGTTCTGCCTTCCAGACAGGATGCTTCTTCCTGCTTCCTGGGCAATCCTGTTCTTTTCTGGTCCAAGTCCCACAGCTCATAATTTCATCTTGCACCACTTTCCTGTTTTTCTTCCTTTTGTTTTATTTATTTTATCATTACAGCTTCTTAGTTTGCATCAGTTACCCATGCATATGAAGTGTTAGTTTGCAAACAGCACCACCCCCCACTCCCACTCATTCCCACTTCTCCTAAGCCAGAGTGCCCAGCTCTTTCATCTGGCTCTTTTGTTAATTGCTCCCCATCTCCAACTCAACTGCATTGCTGCAGTTTGCATTTTTAGCTTTAGGCAGTAGCCACGGATTCCCAAGCAGAAAGGTAGGAAGTCTTAGCCTCTTCCCTTCTTCATGAGCACATCCACCCCTCCCAATACCACTATGCACTTAGAAGGTAATTTAGGTTAAATCCATGTTCATTGTTTCCACTATCATGATTCTGTAAACATCACTCACTATAAATCAGGAACTTGATGTGATTATGATTGCCTTCCTTTTCTGTACAACCTTTACTTTCCCTGAAATTAAGTTATCAGATTTTTTATTTGCTTAGATCGCATGAGCTTAGCCTTCATTTAACACTGAACTCTCCCTCACTTGTGCACATTTCTTTTCAAGACATTTGAACTCATAACGTATTTGATCAGCTTTATCTTCTTAACAAATATATTTCTCCCAGAAATGTCTGGCGTGCCCCACTTGGAATGGGCTGTTCTCTAAACAGAGAACCAGACCAGCAACAGCAACATGGGAAGACAAGGTCCTGGTCCCCACCCAGACACAAAGCAAGCTGTTATTAACAACCTCTCCCATGAATTCCTTCTTAGATTTTGAGGAGCAACTTCTCTGGGCCATCACTGTCACCACTAAGATCTTTCCAGGCTACCATGCTGAGGTTTCCTTGCCTCCTTTCCTGGTTGGCTCCTGTTTCAGGGATCCCTAGCATTTGTCTTCTTTCACTAATGTTCTTGTGTGGTTGGAGCATATCCTGCAGTAGCTTTCTGAGAAGGGGATGGATGCAACTCTTTTGAAAACTTTCATGTCTGAAAATATCTCTATTCTTCCATCTTTATATTTAATTTGTTTACATTAGGTAAGTAATTCCATTTTCCATTTAAAGTTAGAAGGCATTTTCTTCTAACTTCCATTGTTAGTGTTGAGAAATTTAAATCTGTTCTGATTCTTGATACTCTGCATGAAACTTTTTTTTCTTTTGACATCTATAGAATCTTAAAGAATCTATTCTTTGCCCCAGTATATGAAATTGCATCAGGATAAGCTTTGGTGGGAGTCTGTTATAATCCCATGAGTTGGTCCTTTGGCAGGATCTTGCATTCTAGAAACTTGTTTTTCTGTTTGTTTGGGGGGGTTTTTTGTTGTTTTGGGGGGTTTTTTGGCTTCTTTGAAGATTCTTACATATTTTCGTCTTTCAAAAACTCCTACTGTGCTTAGGTTGAATTTGGCCTCTAATTATATTATTCTTTCCAGCATCCCATCTCTTTATCTTTTTTCATGATACTACTTTCTGGCAGGCTTTTCTTCGTCTTTGTAATTGAGCTTTTCACAATTTTATTTTTATTAGTATGTGTTTGCAGTGCATAACAATTACATCCATCATGGGGAGTTGGTGCATATACATAACATATCTTAATTCTCTTTACACCCCTTTCTTCTCTCCTCCCTCATCTCTTGGTCCCCTCCCATACAAAAGGTCTTTCTCCTGGTTTCCTCTTGTCTTTTACTTTGTTCTTTATTTATTCTTTGGGTTTTTCATATAATAGGAACCATGCAATATTTAAGCTGTGTGTCTGATTATTTCATTTAACATCATGTTCTCAAGGTGCATCCATTTTCCTACAAATGGCTCAAATTTACCCTTATTCATAGCAAAGTAGTATTCCATTGTATATAAACATCAGTTTCTTTGTCCATTACATAATTTTAATGTTTGAGCTCTTCGTTGTTCTCAGAATCTTCTGTTTATACTACTCTGTTCTTTTTTTTTTGGTACTGGGGGATCAAACTCGGGTCCTTGCACTTGCAAGGCAGGCAGTGGCACCACTAAGCTAAATCCCTGGCCCTACTGTTCTTATTTTGTGGGATATATTCTTTCATCTCTCTGAGGATATTATTGTTGTTATGTGTTTTTTCTTTTTCCAGTGCAGTGTCAGATTCATGCTTTCTTTTTCCTTTTGCTTATTTTGAATTTTTCTGTTCAGATAAGAGTCTGTTTTCAGGTGGCTGGAGACTCTTTGCAACCTGGTCACTTTTAAGGGATCTCTAAAAACGGGGTTCTCCTGTGGGGTCAGAGGACTTTTCTTCTAGGGTCTTTATTACAGGATGATCCTATCAAGTCCTTCCTTACAGAACTCTTGTGCTGGTCAGCTACAGTTGCTAAACAAACAAATGCAAAATCTCTGGCCATATCTACCATCTCTACCCCAAGATCCACCCGAGAGTGCTCCAGACACAGACTTCCCCAGATGGGCAGGGCCTGTGCCTGTCCCAGGCTCTTGCACCTGCTTTTCTCTCTTCCCAGAATGCTCTTCTCTGGGTATCTCAAAGGCTTTTCCCCTTATTTCTTTTAATTGTTTTTAAATACTACCTTGTCTGAGAGGCTTTCCTTCAGTCATTCTCCATCCTCCCACCCTCCTTGTCTTTCTCTATAGCACTTATCATCCCCACCAGGCTGCATATTTGTCTACGCCTCTCTTCTCTTCCTGCAATGTCAGCTCCTAGAAGGCAGGGGCTTTGCATATTCATGACCATACACAGGACCTGGAACAAGGCTTGGTGCTTACCAGATGCTTGGTGATAGTTGCTGACAAACCCTATAACAAACTGGTGATGCTGCTTTGATGCAAAAATTATATCTTTTAGCAACTGGTGACCAAAGAAGGAGATACAAGTGTCTCTGCCATAACAAAATTCTAAATACAGTCCATTCTCACTATTTGTGATAGTTATGTTCATCAGAGTCACTAAGATCACTGAATTGGTGAATGCAGACCCTGGGAGATTCTACTTGAAGCATTCTTATTAACTCACCTTTCAGGATATTGTGCCATGGGTGTTTCTGTTTAAAGACCCTCATTTAATACATGTTGCTGATGGCCACCATTGTGCTCACAGCCAGTGGCACTGAAGTTGGCCTGAATGAGCTCATCATCTCCGTTGAGCTCATCATTTCCATTGAGCTCCTCATCACTGTTGAGCTCATCACAGCCCTCCAGCACCCTTGAGCACTGGACAGCATGTTAGCTCCACAGCTGGGGACAGCTTTAAACAGCAAAAACACCTACAAAACACACAAAATTGCAAAAATGTGCCATATTAATTAGGCTACAGGAAGAACATTTGTTTATAGAATGAGAGGGGGTAAGGAGGGGAGGACCTCAACTGACCATGCAAGTCAGCAACTCTTGCGTTTCCACACCCTGCATGTGTCTGTATCTGGCTGTGACAGCCCCTCAGTCACCCAGTCCCTTGGTTACCAATACATTTTTGTCAGTATGTGAATTTGCAAATGCAAAATCCACACGATTATGGTTCACAATAGAAACAGCTCTGTTGTTTAAGTTAGCATCAGATCTTTTCTTATAACTCATTCAGTGCCATTGTTGAAAGCAGCAGGAAAAGTGATATTTATGTGCCATTTTCAAAGCAAAACAGACACCTTCAAGGAGCCCATGGTCCATTGGAGACCACAACCAAACTAGAAGAGAAATGGTAGATCCTTGGCTCAAAGTCTGGCATCTGGGTCCTGAGGGCTCCTTCAGCTGGGACGTCTCAGGGGATTCTGGCTTCCTTATCCTGGGGAGTATCCTTCTTTATCCTGAGATGAGTGTTCTGGGGAACCCTGGGGACTTCTGGGGAAAGTGACCTAGGCAGTCTGGAAGGCTGGGCCAGACTGCAGGGCACACAGAGGTGAGTAGAAATAACTGCTAAGTGGAGGATTGGGTTGGCTAAAGCCCAGGGCAGGACAACCTGAGCTGGTTAACTTTAGTATAATATTTCTGTCCATTGCCTGGGGTTTAGAAAGACGACACTCGATGTCTGCTCAAGAATCTGGAGCCTGATGCACAGAGCCCCTCAGAAGCCGGCTCCCCGTCGTCAAAGAGGAAGAAGAGAGAAACACAGATGCCCCAGGATGAGGAGGCTGTGGAGGTGAGCTTCCTGTCTTATCTGTTTACTTGGGTGCACCCCAGGTGTCGAGTGGCCTGCCTGGTGTCATGCCACCATCTCTGACAGGTATATTTTCCCATTATGCTTCCTCTTTGAGGCATCATTTACATACAATAAAATACAATAAAATGCACAAATTTTAAGTTCAAAGTTTGATGAGTTTTAACAAACGTCTATATCCTGGGAACCAATACCCCCATGGAGAAAGTTTTCATCAACCCAGAAAGCTCCTTAGTGTTCCCTACTGGTCACCTCCTGGAGTGCACACTTGCAGAGGCTTTGATTCCCAAAGTCACCGGTAGGCTTTGCTCATCTAGACCTTGATATAAATGGAACCCTGTCCTCTTCGAGTGCACATTCCCACCACAGTGCGCTTCTGAGATTTCACTGTCTTGTGAACTTCTGTAACTGGTCCCTCTCTGTTGTTCAGTGGTGATTGGTTGTGTGGTTTCTCACCCACCACTTGGTGGGCATTTGGTTGCTGGATGGAATGGTTCACCATATTTGGCTCTTATGGGCAAGGCTGCCAAGAACATATAAGTAAGTCTCTTTTCACTTATTTCTTTCAAGTAAATATCTTGGGAAGAAGTGCTGTACCCCGGACAGGATGTTAAACTCCAGGCAGAGTCCCCCTATTCCTTCCAGGGTCCACGCAGCCTACCTGCACCCGTACAGCATCACCCTGGGGAGCTCTCTGGGGGGTGAGGATGAGACATTTCTACTCTCTCCCTGGTTCCCTGAAAAGCATTGCAAATTTGTCTCCTAGGGAAGGAAAAGGTGGAAGTGGCATTTTTAGTGCCTGCTGATACCACATGGTTGTTCCTGTCTCCTTGGTGAGTGATGTAACCACCCCTGTGGGTTATCTCACACAGTTCTTCTTGTCCTCATTTTCCAAATGAGGAAACTGAGGCTCAGGGAGATAGGTGCTTTCCCCAGGCCTATACCTGGGGAGTGGCCAGCTGAGTCTTGTTCCTGGCTCTGTCTGGCCTCTGCCCAGCAAGTGCCGCTGTCCCCAGGCCATCGGCCACTGCCACTTTACATCACCATCATCTCGTTCCACAATCCGATTGACTGCAGAGGAGAGGGCGCTGGTGAGAGACGAACCTGACTAGAGGTCAGACATCAGGGCCTCAGCTACTGGTGACGCTCAGTCACCCCGCCTGTGCTTCCCAGGCCTGTCCTTATGATGGTGACAGGACCCTGTGGACCCTGTAGAAGGGAGGGTGGCCCCGAGCTGAGCTGGAGGTCCTAGAGATGGAGAGGGAGCTCCCTGTGTTCCTGAGCAGGGCTGGCACTCCTCACAGTGCTATGCATCCCTGCCCCTACCCCTGCTCCCTGTCTCTGTTCCTGTGTGTTTGACCGTGCACGTGTGTGTGTGTGTGTGTGTGTGCGCGCGCGCGCGCGTGCATCAGTGTGTCTCTGCACAGCCCTCAGTCCCTGACTCCACATGGATCTCTGGGGTCTGGAGGCTTGGGAGGTCACCTTGTGACAGTGTGTGAGTCCCTATGTGTGGTGTCTGTCTGTCTGTCTCTCTGTCTCCCCCATCCTCCTGTCATACTATTAAAACCCTGCCCACAGAAAGGAGACAGATGTCCATACAGCATGGACCCAAAAGTTCTCCCAGTACTGTCCTCAGCAGCCAAAATGGGAAAAGAACCCAAATGGCCATTGACTAACAGTAAGGTAAATGCAATGTGGTCACACTGCACAAAGGAATATTACTTGCCAATAAAAAGGAATGAAGTGCTGATAGATGCTACTGCACATTGTAGAAGAACCTTGAAATTGTTATGCTAAGTGAAAGAGCGGTTGAATACCACTGGCAAATTTCCATTCATAGGAAATGTCCAGAACTGATTGTTCTGGAGGTGATTGTTATCAAGGTTTCTCTTTGGTTCGGCAAACATTTCTGAAATTGGCCATGGTGACAGTCACTCCTCTCCGGAAAGATACTGAAAATTATCAAATTATATACTGCACATGGGTGACCTGTACAGTGCAGATGTACAGATTCCATCTTGATATAACTGTTAATAAGAAAAATAAGAAACAACCCCACTCTCCCTGGCCTTGGGAACCAGCACTAAACCCCATCCCAGTTCTGCTATTATGGGATGTTGGGTAAGAAACTTCACCGCCTGTACTCAGACACCTCAGTTTTACAATGAGGTCACAGTGATTCCTTCTGCACCATCCCTGGGGTTCTCTAATATGTTCCCTTCAGTGTTTGCAGGGCAAGAACATGTCTTTCTACCCCCTGGGCGGTCAACTTGTGTTTTTCCTGCCCAGTAATTAATGTTTTACTTGCTAACTATTCAGCTATGCCCATTACCAGGCTAATCATTGTCCTGAGTTAAGTTAGTGTTTGCCTGTTGGGCTGGCTGGACAGAGCGCCCCCTGCTGCAGACTCCAGTGTAACGGGCTGTTCTGGACGCCTCGCTTGCATACTAATATGCAGCCAACCCGGGCAGTCTGGCCCCTGCACTGCTCACGTGACCTCTGCTTAATGAGTAGCTCCTGTGAGCCAGAACTGCACAGGGAAATCCACGGGCTCTGAAGCTGCTTCCCGTAGCCTGGCTCTCCGTCCCCACCTCTGCTGTGGAGAGGGAGAGGACACTGACCCACTGCGGGGTGCACTTATGCATGTACTGCAAACAACACCTTTATGTCGGTGAGCGAAATGGCTTTTCTCCTACAATTATGCTCTAACCAATTTTCCAAATGATTGCATTGCTTCAGCTCAACTGCAAATTTGTGCTACAACCAGTTTTCTGAGTAATTGTATTTCCTCAGCAGGGGAGTTTGGGAATGTGGAGAACACCTGAACTTTTATAACACAGCTTTGAAAAACTAAAGTCCTTTGGTCCTGTTTGGGTAGCAGACCCCTGTTCTTGATCCCTTATGCCAAGGGCTCCTGGCCACTTCCTCCCCCAGCCAAGACTGACATCCCTCAGGCCCTGCCCTTCAGGGCACTGCAGGCTGCAGGTGAGAGGGGTGGAAGATTCAGGTGTCCACAGGGTGGAGCCACCACCGACTGGGCAGCCTCAATGCCCTGCCTAGGCTCCTGTTCCCGGCTCCCACCCCAGGCTGCTGCTTCACAGGTCGCAGCTGGCCCAGCTCCGACTCTTTTTCTTTATGTTTTTCACACCAAGTGCAATTTCTGTTTTTCATCTCTCCTTTAGAAGATGAGCTACAGGCAGGCAGAGGCCAGGCTTTCCTCCTGTCTTTCACCCCTTTCCTCACTTCTTTTCACCTCTGTAGGAAGTCTAAAAATCCACAAAGCAAGGGCCGGGGGCTGAGGCAAGATTATTGCAGTAAAAGACATGTTGCCAAGAATCCCCCTCAAAACACTCTCCCTGGCTTTGAACACACTCATCCCATCGACCTCGCCACTTTCTGCAGCAGCTCTGGAGTCCTCTTTCCTGAGTGCCTTTAGCTGTGCTGTTGTGGCTTCCTCAAGGTCCTGAATTGCTTCCAAACTTTTCCCTCTCATGGTCATTTTGATGTTGGGGAGGAGCCAGAGTCACTCGGTGCCGGATCGGGTGAGTAAGCTGGATGAGGACGCACTGTAATGCTTTTCTAAGCCGCCCTTCCATTGGCTGGCACTGGGCAGCAGCACTTACTGTATTTTTTTAATCTCACCTCGTAAAAACATTCAGGAAAGAGAAGTCCAGAGCTGCTTCAGAAAGTGGCAAGAATCGTGAGCTAAGTGTGCTAGAAGTGAGAAGGAGGAGTTTGAGGAGGACTCATGGCAATGCATCTTTTCTCTTTTTTTTTGGTATTGGGGATCAAACTCGGGTCCTTGCGCTAGCACGGCAGGTGGCGAAACCACTGAGCTAAATCCCCAGGCCCAGTGCATCTTTTCTTGTGATACTGTAAACACTTTATTTAAACATTTGCTGAAGCTGTGATCACCTTTTATACAGGGTGCATTGTGGCTCCTCAGCTCCTAGGTCAGCACTGCAGTGTGAGTCACAGATGAACTCCTGAGTCCCTGAGCAGGTGTCTGGGCCGGGGTGGGCCTGGCAGCTGGAGACTGGTCACATTCTCTGCAGCTCTTCCTTCAGGGCGAGGCCAGAAAGCGAGGCCTGCAGCAGAGGAGACTGCTTGAAGGGGGAGCCTCCTGCCGCCACTCCTCAGCCTGCTGGTTCCCAAGCAAAGATTCAGGGACCTGCAGGGGGTGAGCCTGTGGGTGAGAGAGAGGCACCAGGCTTGGGGGAGACAGGGCAGGCTGGGAACAAGTCCATCCTGCTGGAGTCAGGGGAGGCTTCTCAGAGGAGGCGACTCCCCAGCAGGGGGAGAGGAGCTCGTGACCAGAGCTACACCAGCTGCCTGGGCCTTAGCACCTCTGTTCTGACCCCTCAGGTGGGTGCCTGGTCCCTGCAGTCCTTGGGGACAGACACCCTGGACCTCTTTATGCCTGGGAAAATGGAGGCTGCGTGAAGTTCAAAGACATGCTGGACCACTTCTTTTTTGTTTTAGGGTGTAATCCAGAATCTTGTGTGTATGATGCCCCATGTGTTTAGACCCTAACAATGCTAAATTTTTTAACCAACCATTTTTAATTGACAATTAATCACTGTACGTATTTACGCAGTACCATATGATAATTTACTACCTGTATTGATAAAATAAGGGCAATTAGCATTTCCCTCTCCTCGAAATTTATCATTTTGATGTGCCAGGAAACCAGACTGCTCCACCAGTTGTTTTGAAATACATCATAAATTGTTGTAGGCGGTAGTTAACTACTGTGCTTCAGAAAGCTAGGACTAACTCCTCGTGCCTTAAAATTATTTCATGTGTTCACTTTTTCCATTTAAAGATGGTTCACAATTCTTTAAAAAACTCTTGTTAATTAGTGTCAAGTTGTTAAAATCCTTATTACTTCCAAAGCTGAAGAATCAGAATTAAATGACACCATCTGTCCAAGAATTTGTCAATATATCCACTCATACCTCCATCATCCACCCACCCACCCATCAACCCGTCTTCCCCTCCTTCTCTTCATCCATATTTTGTTCATCCCTCTATTCGTCTGTCTATGTGCATCCATTCATCCTTTCATCCATCCACCCACCTAACCATCTGTTCACCCATCCATCCACGTGCCCGCCCATCCATTGGTCCATCTCTACCTGTTCATCCGTCCTCCTAGGAGGTGAGCACTTACACGGATCTCATTGGGCCTATCGTGGTGCCTTCTTGAAGCCCCTGTTAGGATTAGCATATGGCATTTTGGAGACTCTTGGCAGTTTTCCTTCATTCTCCTGAAAGCCTCCTGTGCCATTTATTTTCTCTGCTTCCCAGGAATGTGAGCCGCCTTTCAACAGTAACATCACAGCATTTGCGATGAAGGCCAAGGTCATTTACCCTATCAATCAGAAGTTCCGGGTGAGATTCTGAGCTCCTTCTTAGAAATGCAGTTAACTCTGGAATCTCCTAGAGTTTGGGGTGGGGTGGAGGGATTAAATCTGTGATTTTCAGTCCTATTCAAGGGTTTTATGGCAGGTCATTTTCCACAGAACCTTTAACTGGCTATAGTTCACGGCCCTGTCCCTGGAACACGCAGTCGGACCCGAGCACTTTACTTAGCTGTGTGGCGTGGTTGGTGGATGAAGGGCGTTTACACATGAGCAGTAACCATTGCTGGCCCTGGCAGGCAGCCTGGCAGGAGCCCTGGGGCTTTCTGCAGCTGGGAGACCATCGACCAGGAGAAGTTGGTGCAGAGAGGGAGGAGCGATTCAGCCCAGCAAGCAAGGAACGAGGCTGCTCTAGGCAGGGGGGCCAGAGTCTGGGGAGACCTGGAAACAGGCATGACGAGAGGGTCTGGAGCTGCAGCCAGCATGGCCGGCTCAGATTGGGCAGCAGGAGATGGGCATGTGACACTGGGGGCTGAGGGAGGGCAGAGGAGCCCCTGGAGACCTGGGCCTGAAGGTGTCCCTGTGGGAGGAGCAAAGCAGGTGTGCAGATCAGCGGGTGTGGGGACAGACACCGGTCACAGCACGTGGGCAGGCTGCTCGGGAGAGGTCAGGCCAGCCGCTGGATGCGGGTGCAGGTGGGTGTTGGGAAACACAGCCAGGTGAGGTTTTTGAGGTAGAAGCCTGGGGCTGGGCTCATGGGACAAATGAGCTGCGATGCGGGTCCCTGGAGCCTGGCTGTGGCTGAGACCCTGGGCCATGAGCAGCCTGCCACAGCCAGGCCCCACCCGCCACCAGCCTCCAGCACGCGTCTCAGTGCAGCTGCCTCCCTAGACTAATGGGCTGCTCTGCTTCCAGCCCCTGGCTGACGGGTCCTCCAACCCGTCCCTGCACGAGACCCTGAAGCCAACAGCCCTGCCACACCAGCCAGGGGGGCCCTCGCCGTCCAGCAGCCTGGGCAGCCTGAGCCCTGCCGAGAAAGAGGACTGCAGCTCCTCCTGCAGCTCCCGCTCCGCCGCCAGTGAGGACAGGCTGCTGTGCCGTGCCTTCCTGCGGGTCGGCAGCTTCCCTGAGGTGCTGGCCTGCGAGAGGTAGGCACCGTGGGTAGGGAGGGCCCGGGCTCAGAGTTCAGGGCAGACAGAGCCCCAGAGAGGTTAAGTGGCTCCTGCCGGGACACACAGTGGCCAGGGTCAGAGCTGGGACCCCAGATGCTCTAGTCACTCACTGTGCACACAGTGGTGATGATGCTGGAGTGACAGGGTCAGGCCTGTGCCCTGGGAGGGACAGGGGCCCTTGCTCAGCGCAGGTGTGCCCTGGGCACTGCAGCCGCAGCGGGCCGTGATGGGCACCTTCGGAGGACAGGGCAGATGCTCATTGCTTGGTGGAAGCAGTGACCTCATGAACCAAGGCCGGGGTCCCTGCTGCTGGCCCCTCTGCCCTGTTGCCCAGCAGGGCAGCCTGGACCGGGTTCCGTGGGCCATAAGTAGGAATCAGGGAGTGTTCCTCCAACGACCCAGCGAGGCAGATGCCGCCAGTTCGCCCCACTTCACGAAGATGGGAGCAAGACACAAAGAAGCTGAGTCACTTCCCCAAGGACACACAGCAGAGAGGGAGGGAGTTTTGTTAACCCAGACATCTCATCTTCCAAGCTTGTGCTCCAAAGCACCAAGCTTCAGCCCAGAGCAGGCTCGGGCTGCATTCCTCAGACCACTCTGTTCTACAGTTCCAGGAGCCTGGGCTGGATGAACAAGGCCCAGCTTGGCTCAGGACTGAGAAGGGGTGGGTCCAAGGCTTTGAGTTCAGTGTGGACCCTGAAGGTGGCCTAAGGGAGAGAGCTGTAGCAAAAGCAAGCTTCCGGGGTGGGTGAGCAGGCCAGCCCTGCTGTGCAGTGGCTGCTCTTCAGCATTTGTCACCCTTGGGTGGGTGCGTTGTCATTTAAAATGTGTTTGCTTCTCAGGGACAAAAAGGTTCAAAAAGGCGACCTTGTGGCCATCACTTGACCCAGGTCCTATCTTCCCTGGGTCAGTTTCCTCATCTGTGAAGTGGCACTGAGGGAACAGGTCATGTGGTGACAGAGGTGACAGTGTTCCAGGGAGGATGTGGGATGCTGACACCATTCTCTTTGGCCATTAGGGTGTGCCCAGCAGCTCGCTGGCCTCCTTTCTGTCACCCTTGGGGGTGTGAGGAGCGTCAGCACTGCAGAGTGAGGGCCAGGACACACCCTGCAGTGCACTGACCTCTCTCCTCCCACCGACACACTGCCCTTCCATCTTAGTCACTTTCCCAGGCCTGGGACACAAAACCTAACACCCAAAACTCAAAGAGAGAAAGGTTTATTCAATTCAGTTTCCAGTGGGTTCAGTCCATGGCTGGCTCCAAGACAGAAAAGCACGGTGTTAGGGTCTAGTGGAGCAAAGCTCCCCATGTCATGGTGGCCAGGACGTAGAAAGAGAAGGGAGGAGCCAGGACAAGAATACACCTTTCCATCGTCATATCAATAGTGTCATTTTTATCCTCCCAACCACTGCCACCAATATCACCATGCCCTCCCTTGCTCTGCACCGTCACCATGACCACCATCATCACCATCATTGTGTAGTTATCAGTCTTCTCATCACCATCATCGCTTGCCCATTGCTGAGACAAAATACCAACATCCACAACTTAAAGGAGAAGTTTAGTTGACTCATGCTTTCAGAGGGTTTAGTCCATGGTGGGTTGGCTGCAAGGCAGAAACATTATGGTGGAAAGATTTATCCGAGGAAAGCTATTCACATCACAGCATCCAGGAATCAAGGAGAGAGAAGGGAGGAGCCTAGACATGAATATACCTTTTCAGGTCACATTTCCAGTGACCCACTTCCTCCAGCCAGGCCCCAGCACCTCCTAACTAACAGCACAGTCAGCCATTAACTCATCAATGGATGAATCTGCTAATGAGTAGAGCATCCCATTATCCAGTCACCTTCCAAAAGCCCCACTCTGAGCACAGGAGACTTTTGGGGGACATTCTAGACCTAAACCATAACACCATCTCTCCTGCTTCTTTGGCTCCTTCAGTGCAGACATCGAGCTATGTATCTATAACCTTCACCTCAAAGACATGAAGCTCTTGGATGCTGCGCTGAGGCAGGAGCAGCACATGGTAGGTGGGGAACGTGGCTCTCCCTCTCCTGGGGTTGGGAACGAGGAGGAGAGGTTGTCTGTGTTCCTGAGCCCCAGAGGCCCTTGGGATACAGACTTCAGTGAAGAGGAGCAGTCTGGGGAAGGGCGTGCTGTGTCAGGCCTCAGAGCGTGGCATGGGAGAGCAGGTCCGGCCTTACTTTAACTAGAGTTGGGGCTGAGCAGAACGGTGAGCGCCGCTCCCTGGATGGAGAACAGAGGAGAGCTGTTCCAAAGAGGACAACACTTTTGAAAGGGCAATAACCATGCTAATAATATTGATGAGCACTCGTTTATTGAGTGCCTGCTATGTGCTAGCCCCTGGAGGTATTACACAGGCCATTGCATTGACCTCACCACAAGACAGAGAGGCAGGTGCTGCCATTATTAGTGGAGGAAACTGAGGCACAGAGAGGAAGACTTGGCCGAAGTCAGAGAGCTGCAGATGGAGCTAGTGTCCTCTGAGTGAATAAATGAGGACACGGAGCATGAACATCAGGAGCACAGGATTGCAGTGTTCATGTGCCTGCTGTCTGACCAGATCTGCCAGCGAGACCAGAGAGAGACTCTGAGCCTTCATACCGGGACTGTGGGAGTTGCAAAGAGCAATGCGTCCTCCCTGGGACAGATTCTCTGCATTACTGGAGGAGGACAGGGACCTCCAGAGGCAGGGCACAGGACAAAGCCTGTAGGGAAGAGGAAGGGAATACAGAAGAAGCACAGACTCCCCTACAGCGCCCTGGGCTGTGGAACAGAGGGAAGAGAGCAAACTCCACGTGGGCAGGCCTGGCCTTTAGGCAGGTGGCAGTGTGTGAACCCACAAATGACGCTAGAATTCAAGGAACACAGCGGGCCTCCTTACCCTCTATGTCATGCCTACAGAGGTCCCCAGGCATGTGTCGCATGCTGCTTTCTGTGGGCCACAGCTGGTCTCCGTGGGGGCAGGGACCCTGGCTGTTCTCTCAAAGGCTCCATGCTCCCCAGGAGGACCAGTGACTTCTGTCCTCAGAGCCCCATGCAGCTGGCCAGCAGAGGTCCTGGGGAGCCTCAGCCTGCTGTCACAGAGCTGCCCACTGTTGCTGCCCGCCCTGGACAGCTGTGTGGCCTCCACTTCCTGCTGGGTGCAGTGACATCAGCTTCTGCAGCACAGGGCTGGAGTTGACAGCAACCCTTGGGCTTTCGCGGCCCCCCACCTAGGGGGCCCTGTTTGGTCTCCATCTGTTAGGACAGGAGGTGGAGGGGTCTTGACTCCTGTGGAAATGGGGACCAGGGGCCTTACACACAGTAGGCACCTAGTAAATACTTGATGAATAAATGTATGAGGAAAAAGTGAAAGATTCTTTAGCACCGTCACTAAAATGCATCCGACGTAGGCTGACGTGTCAATGTGTAATCAGAAGTCTTTTCCTGCTTCAAACAAGTACAAAGGTGAATGAATACAATAAGTGGTGAATGTTTAAAGTATTAAAAAATTTATTACAGTAAGTGACATATTGCCATGAATCCCCCTCAAAATCCTCTTCCTTACTTCAAAGACTCTCATCCCATTGTTGCTGCCATTTTTCTGAAGCAGTTCTGGAAGTCTTCTTTTGTGAGTGTCTTTATGAAGTGTGATCAAAAATATGGTGAATGCTGCTGGCCAGTGCTGAGAAAGACAGGTTTGAAAGTCATGACGCTGTGTCCTCGTCCACCTTATTCACCAGATCTGGCACTGTGCAACCTCTGGCTCCTCCCCAAAGTCAAATGAAAAGGAAATGTTTTGAATCCACTCAGGACATGGAGGCAGTTGGGACAGCACAACTAAAGACACACAAAACAGGACTCCAGAGCTGCTGCAGAAAGTGGCAAGAATGGTGGGATGAATGTGCCCAAAGTGAGAGGAGGAGTTTGGAGAGGATTCATGGCAGTGTCTTTTACTGTAATAGTTTCTTTAAAACTTGAAATATTCACCATATTTTTCAATCACAGCTTGTATATGAAGGGAGAGACAGACAGAGGGAGGGAGAAAGAGGAAAGAGAAGGGGAAAGGAGGGAGGAGGAGAGAAACAGGAAGAAAGTTACTGCTGTTCAAACCTTTCTCTTACTAACTTTCCCTTTTTACCAACAGATGTTTATTCAGATTTTTAAACTGTGCCTCCTGGACCTTCTTCCTAAGAAGTCAGATGATGAGTTGCACCAGAAGATTCTTTCAAAACAAGAACATGTAAGTCATTAACCTATATTGCAAAGTAACTTATAAAATAGGTACACATAATAATAATACATATGATATACAACACAAAAGTATTTTCGCTTTTCTATAAAAAAATAGTTTATTACACTGTGGGTTTTTTAATGATGTATAAATGCATGTATACAAACATATAAAAAAGAATGTGTAATATCTAAAATGTGTTAAAATATTCAAAGCAGGCAAAAGAGACAAATAAATGTTTGCCATATGCACTGTTGAATGACAATCTCTGTAAGTGTTATTTCTGCACAAGTTTGGGGGTATTTTAAAGAATAAAATATGTTCATTGATTGTAACTGCTGCTACTACTTTGTATTCTACTCTTCTTGGTCTTTTCTAGAAAAGACCCAGTTTCATACACAGCCCAGACAGGGCTTGGAGTAAGCCCTGGTGTAGTTGGAATACTGGCTCTATCTTTTTTGTTTTATGTTTGCAATATCTGATCCTTCTATTCATCCTGAGACACTGGGCCATCTACAGATTACATTGCAGTCATTTTTATCCCCATCTGCACTCTTGGCTGTCCCCTGAGCCTCAGTCTCAAGATCCCCTTCCAAGATCCACAAAGTCTACCTCCTGTTTCCTATTGTTTCTCTTTTATTTGTCTCTTTAGATTATTTAGACGTTGGGTCTCTCATTTGAGAGAAACCATGGAGTATTTAACCTTCTGCGTCTGATTTATTTCACTTAGCATTATGGCCTTAAGAGCCACCCACTTTTCTATGAATGACTCAGATTTATCACTCTGTGACTGGATAGTACTCTATTGTGTGTATATACCACATTTTCTGCATACATACTGGCTGCTTCCAAAATTCAGCTGTTACAAACTGATGGTATGATCACGGGTATCCATGTCTTTTACAAGCTCTCAGGATCCTAGTGTCAGATTATGATCTGTGATACCTGCTAGTACCTTTATCACCACTACCACCGCCATAGTCCCACCACCATAATCATCATCATCATGATCTTCATCATCTTCATTGTGTTACCACCATCACCACTGGATCAGTAACTTTCCCACTGCTGGGGCAAAACACCCAACACCCACAACTTAAGGGAGAGGTTTATTTGGCTCATGGTTTCAGAGGGTTTAGTCCACGGTCAGCTGGTTGCAAAACAGAAACAGCATGGCAGAAGGGCCTGGCAGAAGAAAGCTGCTCAACCAAAAGCAGCCAGGAAGCAGAGAGAATGGAAAGCCAGACAGAGAAGGAAGAAGCTGGGGACAACAATAGACCCTTCCAGGTCATACCCCAGGACCCACCTCCAATCAGGCTCCAGGCCCTAACAGCACATTCAGCTATGAACTCATCAATGGATTAATCCTCTAATGAAGATGGCACCCCCATGATCAGTCACCTCCTGGAAGACCCATCTCGGATCACATGAGACTTTCAGGGACATTTTAGATCTAAAGCATAACAATGACCAGAATCGTCTTCATCAACCCCCTTAGCCCCACCACTGCCGTCATTTTCATTCGTCATTGTCATGGTCATTGCTACTCTCACCACCACCGTCTGTATCATTCCTATTACTGTTGCTACTGCCTTCACCGTCATCACCATCTTCCTCATCTCCACCACCATGACACTGGAGGTTGGTAGAGGTTTCTTCGCCAAAACCCCTGGATCCCATGGGGAGGATCACTCCCTCCACCCCGGGGGGAATGGCACACATCACCCTCTCCGTCATCAGCACCATTGTCCTCTTCCTCAGCACCACTGTCAGGACCACCAGGCAGTGCACATAGTGCTCATGTACATGATTTAACTTTCATGACAACCCTGTGAATGGCCTTATGATTTTTATTTAACAGCTAAAGAAATTGATGCTCGATGGGTTTAAATGATTTTCCAAGGATAAAAACAATGATAACGTTGATGGTGTTTGCAGTAGTAATAGTGATAATGAAATCATGCTGCATGTTACAATGCCAGGAATAGATATGGAGTCTGTAGATCTCAGATCAAATCCCAGCCCCACCTCTATTTGATATTGGGCTCTACTACTAAGCTACATTTCCAGCCCTCCCCCACCCCCTTCTTTTTTAAATTTTGAGACAAGATCTCACTAAGTTGCCCAGGCTGAGCTCAACTTTGCAATCCTCCTACCTCAGCCTCCTGAGTAGCTGGCATCACAGGTTTGCAAGACAATGCCTGACAAATGACTTGATTGTAGTAGTGGCTGCCATTTTTGAGGGAGTCTAGCTAAGTGCTTTAAGTGTATAATTTCATTTAATGCCCTCACCATTCTTGGAATTTCTAGAAAAAGACAAGAAGAGGTGAGAAATGTCAGCTGCTCTTAAAAAGGAAAGTGGTATGACGCAGAATTTTAAAGGGTGGGACAAGCCTAGCACTACCTCTTCCTGCCTGAGAGTCTTAGGGCACAATACCTGAACTTGCCATTTATCTTGGTCCCATCAGGAAAAAGCCATCCTTTGTCTCTTGTAGAGCTATTGTGAGGATTAGAACCACATATGCCCTCAGTACAGGCTGTCAATAGCAGTTTTTACCCATGTTATTTTTCCTAGTGAAGCTAGCCCACACCTGCACAGGTTATGTGACAGTGACGACAGCTCTGGAGAAGAGAGATCTGCCTCCTGCCCTGGATGTTGGGTTTGAAGGAAGACAGAGGACTCACGCATTTTTTTCCCAAATTCAGTCACTTGAGAGACAGAGTCGAGACAGATACAGAAATGTAGCTTTATTACTGATATTGGCTGAAGACACAGTAATCATGGAGGCCTTTCTCATACTAAATTCCAGAATTAGCTCAGCTTCCTGCCTCACACCTGTGTGACTGGGCCCCCTCAGCCTTCTGCCCTTGGAACCAGGGCCTTGCTACCTTGCTCAATCCGGGCTGGACCACAACAAAACAGTGAGCTCCCCTGATTTGTATATCCCAAAAAGGAAGTGGAAGTTAAGCCACTGTGCTCACTTCCTGTTCTTGAACCCACCCATCATGTACACATCACTTCCTCCCCTGAGGTATAGCATATAACCTTCCCCACGGAAACTAGGTGAGTATGGAAGAAACTTTTCCCTCCTAAACTTTTCCCATAAAAATCATGACATTTTCTAGGACTTTGTAATGATTGAAAGATGTGATTTCAGTGTTTTTAAGTATGGCCTAGTCTTTTTGAGAAGGGAGTATAGAACAAAATAATCCTTTATTCTTAAGTTTCTGTGTTTAATGAGGAAAGTAAATTTGAATCAATCAAACCTTAAGCAGGGCAACACCTAGAGCATGTAATTATTGTTACAAAAAATTTGCTGGTAATGTGGGGAAAATGAAAGCATTTGTTTATCTAGAATTTAAAACATGGTAGATTTTCTCTTTGTTTATTTGATTTCCTTTCTTCCTCCCAGGATTTGGAGGAATTAGAGAAGGGACTTCAGGTCAAACTGTCGAACATGGAAATGCTGGGCACCAGCGACTCTGGGTACATCAGCCTGGCAGACGTGGAGAAGAAGGAGAGAGAATCCTCAGAGCACCTCATGGACCACGTATGCAATGTCTTTTCTCTCCCTTTGGTTTCTGGGCCAGTGACATTGGCAAGATTGAAGAGATGGTGCTTAGGAGCGTGTTCACAATAATTCAATTCCCTGTTGCATTCTGCCCCAGATCAGGGATCCAGCTTCTGTAGTTAAGCCATGCAGAAAGTATAATTAGGGAGCAAAGGTTTACAGAGCAAAGGTTTTTTGGTTTTTTTCATTTAAATTTTAAATTGATCTTTTTATCATTCGAAGCAAAGATTGCTGTGACCCTCAATGTCATTACTGTCCTGTGGGGTAGAGGTGAGCGACTCACTTCTCAAACTTGAAGCGTCATAGAAAGCATGTTTAAATTCCAGAGAGGATGGCTGCTTTGAGACCTCCTTTTTGGGGGGGGACTCCCCTTCCCCAGTCATATACTGCATGTTAAATAGGCATTGCCTTGGCACACGCCCTTGGTCATTCCTCGTGTTAGGCGGGGGGAATTCAACATTCATTGTTCAGTAGCTTTGTCCTGGAGTTGTCAGGCCAGACCCTTTGTGAGCGTGTGAGGACTCCTGACTGCAGGTGTGGTGACAGAAGGGTACACGGAGAGGACCGAGGCACAGTGGAGGGAGGATTGCTTCCCTCCATTGAGGAAGGGACCCCAAAAGGCTAGGTAGGGAAGGAGGATGCTGGCCAGTAGGTTGCAGGTGGGATCCAGGGAGGGCAGCAGGCAGCAAGAGCAAAAGAAAGCCAGACAGGTCCAGCCAAGGTTCTCATCTCACGCCTGGAAGGTGGGCGTCACAGGTTTGAGGTGAGGTGGCTCGGCCCAGCTTCCATGTGAGACCGGCCCCTGGGCTCTGTGTGGAGGACCATTAAGTGCTGTTGGGCAAACCCAGCTCCAGCAGGAACTTCTGGAAGGCAACTGCAGCAGGGATGGAGAGGAAGGAAAGGTCCAAGAGCTGACGTGGTGGGATGCCATGGGGCAGGAGCAGGAGGAAGAGGAGAGAAGGGCTCAGCACTGCCAACAAAGGATCCAGATGAGCAACAAGCTGGGAGGGAGATGGGAGGTCTGGCTTGGATGCCTTGGGGGGAGAAGTCTGGAGGAGGAGGGTCCCCACTGAGGCCTAGGGAACAGGACATGGGGCACAGGGATGTCCCTAGAATGGGGAGCCAGGAAGAGATGGCTAAGGAGCAGTGCTTAGCCCAGATTCTTGTGACTCCCCAGAACTGTGGAACAGCAGGGAGAGGGCTCATAGATTTCACAAGGCCTTAAAGTGCCAGTGGCCTCCCAGAACGGGCTCTGGTCTGGGAGCGTGGCCCCAAATCTTGGATCCTGCCAGGAGGTCAGAAGAGGAGTCCAGGAGGACTGAGACAAGGAAGTCCCTGTGCTGGAAGGAGGAGGCAGAGCTCGTGGGACATGGAACTGTGGGTCTGGGTGTTCAGGGAGCTTGCATTCTCTTGCACAAGTTGTTGGGGTGCAGTGAGGGCAGGGAGAGAGCATGAGAGTGCTGGGGTGTAGTCTCTCCTGAGGGGAAGGAAGGAAGGGCTGGGCAGCGGCAGGACCAGGTGTCCGGCCTGCAGTGAGGCCCCTGAGGTAGATGCTGTCCGTTCCCAAGGCACCCTCTGTCTTGGCAGGGTTGGAAGGATTCAGCGCTCTGGGCTGATGCATCGTGGCCTTTGGTCACAGAAACAAGGTCAGCATGACTTTCTGGTGCCACCATCTCCTGTCCCCTCCCATGCCCTGCTAGCAGGAAGGGTCAGTATTGGTATCTGAGAGGCCAAGCAAAGGTGGAGGAAATCTGGGCCATGGGCCTGAGGAAAATCCTGTGTCTTTGTCACTTCCCTGTCTCTGAGCAGACCTAATACCCAACACCCACAACTTGCGGAAGAGGCTTATTTTGGCTTGGAGGTACAGTCGCTGGTCAGCAGTCTCAAGGGCAGGAGGGCCTGGCACAGGGGCCGGGCGGAGTGGAGCTGCTCACACCATGGGGCACAGGAAGTAGAGGGAAGGGAGGGGCCAGGAGGGAGATGATCCATCCAGGCCACGCCCCGTGACTGCCTCTTCCCCCAGGCCCCGCCTCCCACCGCACACCCAGCCCCCAAACGCCACAGTGGCTCCATCCCCCAGTAAGTACAGTGCCCCCATGACCTGACCACCCTGCACAAGCCCCAGCTCTGAGCCTTTGGGGCTCATTCAGAATGAAGCCATAACATCCTGCTTCTTGCTGGCCCCAGCTCTGTGACTTGTGAGCCCCCTCCCACGCTCTCCCCACACCATTTTATCTGGACACAGCCCAGCACACTCCATGCCAACTAAGCAGTTGTTAGCCTTCCTGGTATCGTTGTTCTTCTGGTGCCCAGAGGCTGCAATGCCACAAATTAAAGCACCCAATGGTGTAAGCCCCATGTTGCTCTCCAGCTGTGCCCCTGACAAGACAGAAGAAAGGAAGTGATTTTATTACTTTTTTTTTTTGGTACCAGGGATCGAACTTGGGACCTTGCACTTGCAAGGCAGGCACCGGAACCACTGAGCTAAATCCCCAGCCCGAAAGGAAGTGTTTTAAAAGACAGGTGTTTTACAGTCAGCATCATCTCTGCCATGCTCCTTTGCACGCTCAGGACATTAACTACTATTAAATGGCCATTGATGCTTTTATCTCCAGGCCTGGCTGAATCCCTTTCAAAGACTCTGAAGCCTCCAGCACACTGTCACATTCCATGTGCCCCAGGTAGTACTTAAGGCTTGTGTAAGAGCCCAGGGTTAGTTCATAGTTTGCCTTCTGGAGCAGCAGGGCCCTGTCCTTGCTGAAAAGCCATTTCTAAAAGACCCACTGCCTTCGGTGGCCAGGGAGCGCCCTCTGTAAGAATGCAGTTGTTGCCAAAAATAAACTCTCCAGGACTGTAGGATGCTTCAGAATCTCTGTTTGAGATCAAAAAGGAATTGTGATTCCCAAGCACAAGCCCAATAGCTTTCTTAAATAAGTTTTCTCCCCTAACTCTTGCCTCTCATGCTCATTTCACAGATGGAAGCTTTCTGGAAACAGATGGAAAACATCCAGCACTTTCTTGTGGACCAATTTAAATGTTCCAGCACCAAGGCACGGCAACTCACAATGACTCTGACGGAAAGAATGATTGTGGCCGAAGAGCTCCTGCAGCAGTCTCAGGATCTGCAGACTCTGGTAATCCTGGAGGGAGCGAGGGAGGGGGAAGACACTTGGGCCAGAGGAGGGAAGGCTGAGTCCTGAAGCATCTTGGACTTCTTTAAGTCACACACCTTCCTGTGGTGGATGAGCAGGGAATCCAACCAACCACTTACCCAGCATCCATCCACCACCCATGCATGCACCCACCCACCCATCCACCCGCCTGCCTGCCGTTCTTAGAGGAGGTGCTGACCAGCTGGGTCTTCTGCAGCCTGGCACATGCATTTGCAAGCCCAGCTGCACCTTGGCAGCATCTGGGGAGCTTGGAGAGGTTCTGCTGCTCGGGCCTTGGCTGACTCCCCACCCAGAGCTCAGCTTCATCTGCCTCACTCGCAACCTGGACACTGGGGTTTTTCAAGCTCTCAGATGATGACGCTGAGCAGCAGGGTGAGACGGTGTAGACGGGGCGTCTGGGTATAGAAGGTGTAGATGACGATGGGCGTCTGTGTGTCACCTGTACCTGTGCCCCATCCTCACTCCCAAGGAATCTGATCTGCTTGCCCTGGACTGGAGGCCCTGGCTTGAGGATTCTGATTGCAGCAAGGGATGGTGGCTGCTAGTGTAGAGGAGCCCCAGAACCCAGCCCGGAAGTGAGCTCAGCAACTGGAGCTGTGTGATGCTAAACGCTAACTGCCTGAGGTTCTAGCGCCATTTATAAAATCATGGTGCCACAGGCAGGGCCCAAGACCTCTGTCACCATCAGGGGTCCTGTGTGTGAAAGGGCTGAGCAGAGCCCAGGTGACACTGGCTCAGAACCCCACCTGCCCGGGACATGGCGGCCCCAGCAGGTAGGGCCTGGGGATGGACGGCAGCAGCCTCACTGCAGCCATGCCACCATCCTCCCGTTCAGCACTGCCAAATACACAGCGGCCTGGGGAGTTGATATAGCATTTGTTTGTCTGTTTGTGGCACTGAGGTTTGAACCCAGGGCCTTTGTAATGAGCTCCATCCCTAGCCCTTTTTATTTCTTGAGACAGTCTCACAAAGTTGCTAAGTTGCTCAGGCTGGGCTCTAATATGTGACCCCCCTGCCTCAGCCTCCTGGAGTGTTTATTTATTTGCTTATTTTAGGGGTGCTGGGGATGGATCCCAAGACCTCAAGCATGCTAGGCAGGCATGCTAGCACTGAGCCACACTCCCAGCCCTGGTTTGCTCTTTTCTCAGATAGGCACAGCAAATATTCAGTTACAGTGAACAGATCAGGAGCAAGCCAAGTAGCTAAGTGATGCATCTGGGGCCCCACCCCACCTAGTGACATCACCAAGCTGAGACCCCAAGCCCTTCATATGCTGCCCGGGCCTTGGACTTGACTGTTAATTTGAGAAGGCTGCTGACTCCCGTGAATGCACGTCAGAGATGAAAGACTTCTTTCTCTCTGTGATCAGCCGGATATTGATTCAGGGGAAAAAAATCCTTGCTGGAATATCAGCCAGTAATATCCAAACAGGACAAAGGGAAGTTTAGCAGCCTGATTGTGCTTCTGCCAATGTGCCAATAATGAGCACTCCCTTCATGCCACACCCTGTTAGGGGAACGTTGTGGTGGTTAAAATGCAGCTCAAGGGAGAAGCCCAGCCCTTAACACTGTCTTTCCACTTGCTAGCTATGTGGTCTTGGGCAGGTTGCTTAACGCCTCTGTGACCCAGCTTCGTCATCTGCAGTGGGGACAATGACACAGGCCCTGGGGTTTGTGTGTGGCTGAGGGTCTGAGGCCATGCGTAGTGCAGAGCTGAGCACACAGGAGGCACTCAGTGAGCACCAGTCCTTAGATCCCGACAGCCACCGGTTACACAGCAGCCAGAACAAAGCCTCACGACGCCGCGTGGAAAGGACCACAGCCCAAGTCTACAGATGAGGGACGCACAGCTCTGCCCGTGTCGTCCTTGACTTCAGAGGACATAGAGCCGCCACAGAGCAGACGGGCGTCCCCGGTTCTCAGGACGCATCTCAGAACAGCTCTGGGGGGGAGGGGGACCCTGGCATGTGTCACTGCAGCGGCGCTCAGTACTGGACAGCCCCGAAAAGGAACCCAGAGGCATCAGACAGGGATGGGGACAGAATCCACAACGCTAAGAGGCGCCACTGCTGGGCCCCCCACGAAGACAGCTGGCACCCACGCAGCGCGGCTCGCTCTGGCTCGAGATGCCTGGAGCAGGCTGATGCCTGACGTGGTTACCTGATGCTCGCTGGGTGGAGCCCTCAGGTGTGGCACCCCTGCCCTTGGTCTGCATCCGAGACAGTGCCTGGGAACCCTGCCATGCCCCTCGCACCTCTCTCCACACGGAGCTCCAATGACTAAGCCCAGAGATGGCGCTGTCACTCAGCCCTGCGGCCCTGCGCGGTTCTCCGCTTCCCGCCGCTCCAGGTGCTGCGCCCGCCCCCTGCCTTCCGCACCTGCACGCCACGGTCCTCGTTCGCCCTCTAGCGGCCGCGCCGGGAGCACCGCCAGTTCTACTCGGAGAATTGTGCGAGGATCTATTAGGGAGGCTCACAGGACAGGCGGGGTCCACATGGCCATCTGCGTGCTGGATCAAGGAGCTGACGCCGCAAGACAAGACGGGCCAAGGAGGCAGCGCCAGTCCGAGGCCGCAGGCCTGGAAGCTCCCTGGGGAGCCGCTGGTGTGAGTCTGCCTTGCAAGGCTGGAGAAGCTGGAGTCTGGTGTCCTCAGGGGACGGCAGCAAAAGACGCCCAGGCTCCGCAGAAGGGAGCTCTTCAAGTGCAGGCGGACTTCCTCCTTCCCTTTCATTCCATCTGCCTGCAAGCCGATTGGCTGGAGCCACCCCCGCCAGGGCGGGCCTTCCCCCCCATTTGCTAACCCTCGTGCCAGTCTCACTCCCAGGAGTGTGCTCTACTAATCTGGGGGTGACTCTTAACCGGGACAAATTCGCATTGTGAACTTGAGTAACAGTCACTGCTGTGGTCTGGCCCTGGCCTGACCCCTAGACTAGCTCCTCAAAGTCAGAAGCACGGGGCCCTGGAGCACAGAAGATGGCCAGGGAGGGGAAGGTCAGGGAAGGACCACAGAGCCGGTGAGCAGAAGTGGAACTCAGCCAGGCAGCATGGAAGGAGGCAGCACGGCTGTTTTGGGCAGCAGGCTCAGCATGTGCAAAGGCCCCGCACATGCAGCTGAGAGCCTGTCATGGCCAAAGGCCCAGAGCGGAAGGAGGGGGCACAAGACCTCAAAGGGCCTTGCATGCCACACTCAGGAGTTTGGACCTGATTTGGAGGCCATGGGGACAGCGGGTGGTAGAGCCACGTCTGCATCTCTCAAAGTCCCCCATGTGCTGTGGGAGTGGGGCGGGGAGAGCAGGAACTGCTTGCTGCTCTAAACTCCGGGGTGTCGCTCCTCCTGCCCTTCTCCCCCTGACACACTGAAGCCCAGGACTCAGACTCCCTGAGCCTCCAGGGCCAAGAACTGTGTTACTTTCACTGCTGCCCTTGCGGTTCTTTGCAGGGCTGCAGAGGACACGGGCCGCGCTAGCCGGAGAGGGGGGACCTTGAGAAAGAAGGGCTTCCTCTTCTGTCCTGGGTGCATGCTGGGTTCCTGCCCTAAGGGTGACCCCAGGGGACACCCCCAGGGCCTCAGTGTCTGTGTCCCCACAGGACACCCTGGAGAGGACACTGGGCCGGGTGCACATGGCCAAGCTGGTTGAGTGCCTGCGGATGCAGATCCAGGAGGAGACCAAGTGCCACCTGGCTGCCATGTCCCATAGCCTGGAACTGCTGGCCGTGCAGGGGATGCTGTCAGGGCAGCAGAAGGAGGAGCTGCTGGCCCAGCAGCACAAGGCCTTCTGGGAGGAGGCAGAGCACTTCAGCCGGGGTGAGTGGGTGGCATGGTCCCCGTGCAGTGCAGGAGGTATGGGAGACGTGGCCCGTGTCACCAAACACGGGCTGCAATCCCCAGCCGCTGCCTTCTCAGAGTCTGGAGTCCCTCTTTGTGGAGCAGAGCTGGGGCCAGGGTCCCCACCTGGAACTGGGGCAAAGCAGGGTGAAGGGTCTCAGCCAGACACAGGAGTGCCCAGAAGTGAGCAGGAGCTGTGTGGCCCTGCCAGTTGCTGGGAGCAAGGGGCCTGGGGCAGCGTGGGGAGAAGCTGCACCATGTAGTTGAGCTGCAGGTGCCCCATCCTGGCTCCTGTCCCCAGTGCCAGCCTTGGGGTAGGCGGGGCAGGACTCAAGACTTAGGGGATACTTAGGGCTTTGTGGCGCTCCCACAGTTGGTGGAACCCTCAGGGAGAAACCCAGGTCTGTCACCTACAGGGAGAGGAGCATCCCTGCCCTGCGCCATGTCCTCACCCCCTTGGTAGAGCATAGGAGTGGCTCTGCTGAGCAGTCACCCCCTGCCCTGCGGCCCTTTCACTCCCAGAGTTCATCCAGCGCAGCAAAGCCCTGGTCCAGGCATCTCTGGCTCGCCAGGCGGAGGAGGCGGCCAGGCTCACACTGGCCCATGAGGAGGAGCGGAGGAGCTTCCTGGCCACTTCCCTGCCGGTCCCGGACCCGGAGGATTTCCTCAAGGTGAGCTGTCCCTGGGTGCACGTGGTGGAGGGGTGTCCCTGTGTGTAAGGCAGGCTCATCAGCTGGGCATGTGGAGCTGAGCCACTGGGACTGGGGGGTGGCCAAGCTGGAAGCATTCTTGGCCTTGTCTAGGAGGGGGACGGGAGACCCGCAGGAGGACAGGATGCAAGAGGGTAGAGGGCTCAGCTTGCTTGGGACACACTTACTCTGTCTTTTTTGCCACTTTCTGAAGCAGCTCTGGAAATCCTCTTTCTCGAGCGTCTTTTTGGGGTGTGATCCAAAACACGGTGACTGCTGCTGCCAAGTGTCATCTAATAGAAAGGCAGCTCCTACAAACAGGCTGCTGTGTCCCCCACCTCAGTCACACTCCTGTCCCTGTGTGCTTCTGGCTCCTCCCCAAAGTCAAAATGGACATGAAAGGTGAATGTTGTGAATTGATTCAAGGCATCGAGAGAGCCACGACAGCGCAACTAAGACACAAAAGAGGGCTCCAGAGCTGCTTCAGAAAGCAGCAAGAATGATGGGATGAGTGTTCCGAGCAAGGGGAGGATTTTGAGGTAGATTAATAGAATTGTGTCTTTTACTGTGATATTCTTTTAATTGAAACACTCACCATACATTTTAATCATACTGCATGTCGTGTCCCCCCCCCGCCCTGGTCCTGGCCTTCCTCATCCGAAAGGGGGTGACTTCACCTGTGTCATAGGACCCCAGGCCCAGTGAGATGCAGCTCTGCCTCGCCGAGGCCCGCCCAGCCCCTCTTACCCTTTGGTACAGCCCCTCCCAGCCATGTGTGGCAGGGTGGCATGGAGAGGGGTCGGGGCTCGGGGCCCAGCATAGTGTGCATGGCAGCACCCGGAGAGCGGCCACGGGCTCCCCCTGTGTCCTCAGAGACACAGCCCAGCATCTCCCTACAACGTCCTCTCCCTTCCCTTCCTGTGCGGGGTTCCCCGGTGCCTGCACCCCCGTGCCCTCTGCTGATGCTGGGTCTCTGTACATCCCTGCCCCCCCCATCACCCTGCTGGGCTCCCCGGGTCCTCCCTGAGCCTGGGTGGGGTCCACAGCAGAGTTGCCACAGTGATGTCTCCATGGCTGGGGACCAGGACGAGACAGTGGGGTACCTGGCGGTCCCTTCTCACGCTGGGTGTGAGGAAAGAATGTCTTGTGCGTCTCCTGGGAAGCGGGTTTGCTGGTCCTAGCCTTGTCCACAGTTTGCAAGCCACAGAAGCCATGTGATAGTCCTGTGCCTCAGCTCCCCTGAGTGTAACTCAGGTGGACACCCCTCCCCCTGAGCAGCAGGGCAGGCTGGGGAGAAGTCCTAGAAAAAGCGAAGCTTGCAGCTTAGTACCAGAGTCAGTTCCTGTTGGAACCGCAGGATTTCCACGAGGTCCTGGAGCAGCAGCGGCTGATGCAGAGGGACCTGGAGGAGGAGGAGGAGGTGAGAGCCACTGAGGCCGCAGCTGCGTTCTGCCAGGTAGGTGGCCCCGGTCAGGACGTCCTCTGGGTCAGGGACCCCAAGCAGGCTGAGGTCCACCTGCACTCAGGCAAGGTGACTGGGCAGGCCACTGCCCCCAGCAGGGTCCTCCCGGCCATGCTAGAAGCGGCAAGTCAGTCCCCCGTTTGATCAGGAGAAAGCACACAAGGTCACCAAGTGGCAGGGGCCAGTGGGACAGAGGCAGCATGCAGAGCCGAGGGCACCTGGTGGGGAGGATGTGACAGGACCTGTGGGCTCAGCACTCTGACGGAGGATCCACGTGCCTGGCCCAGTTCCCTGGCTCTTCCCCTGCCTCTCTGCGTAGCCACAAGACCATCACCCCATCCCTGGCTCTCAGTGTGCCTGGCTGTGCGATGGGGTTGTGACAGTCCTTCTCAGCAGTGCTCTGTGGACTGAACGCCTGGAGCCCTGCGGTGGTGGGTGCTCTTGGGACATCCCAGCCATGTGCCTGGTGTGGGCCCAGGAGTGAGGGCGGGAAGCCCGGAGGAGGCCAGGGCCAAGGGCAGCTGCCTGCTGCAGGGGACAGGGAGGCAGGTGGGAGGGAGAAATTGCCCTCGCCGTGGTCACCAGCCTGAGCTGCCCTACCAGGACGCCACAGACAGGGCCTGCACAGCTGGTGCCTGCAGCCCCAGGGGTCTCAGGCTGACTTCCCCTATAAGGTTGGGTGTTTTCAATTTAAAAAAAGAAAATAAAAAAAGATCAGAGCATGTGCTCACAGGTGTTTCACATATTACCTGTGGTGTGGGACATTTTTCACAATTTAAAGAAATACATCTGGAGAGAGACCGGTCGGGGAGGTGGGGGGAGACCTGGAGACCCGAAGCAGGACAGCGGGGGCTGGGTCAGCCAGCCTGTAAGCCTGAGGGCCAGTTTTGACTGCAGTGGGGACAGGATCTTCCCAGGAATTTTAGCGGGGAGATTCGGGGAAGATCCGAGGTCTCCACAAACAACTCACCTCTGTGTGGAGGCCGAGGGGGACAAGCGGCCACAGGGGCTGAACATAATCCAGGTGGTGGCACAGGAGGCCTCTGGGGCCTAGCGGAGGCACCAGAGGTGGAGGGCTGAGGTGAGCAGGGCTGGAACAGGGCTGGGTGGGGTGCGAGCGCCGGAAGGCAGCAGGTGTGTCCCAGGACCGTGTGTGTTCAGGTCCCCGTGTGCACAGTGTGAGGTGTGTCTGTGCATGTGTGTGCAGGGTGGTGCCCGTGACCCAGTGTGATTCTCACCGCACGCAGGAACTGTACCACAGCACCGTGGACACCTTCCAGCAGTTTGTGGACACCCTGTTCCTGCAGACGCTCCCGGGAGTCAGTGGCCTCCACAGGACAGAGTGCGAGTCCCTAAGGCAGGTGACGCAGGAGGAGGCAGCTCGGCAGCTGGGGCACTCGGACCGCTTCCGGAGACAGCAGTGGGGCCTCCTGCAGGACCTCCTGGAGCAAGACAGGCAGGTGGGCCACGAGTTTGAGACTTAGGAGCGTAATGAGGGGTTCCTTGCATGTGGCATCCCCAGTGCCGTGCCAGGTGGAATTGCAGAGGCTGGTGACATGGGGAGGGGGGATTTAGCAAGATCAGAATAAAAAAGACAAGAGTTTATTCGGATCAGAGTGCACTGTGGAGAGGGACAGCAGGCGAGTTTCCAAGCAAGGAGTCATGCAGTACAGGTGAGAGATTAGGATTCCACTGAGGCTTTGAGGATCAGGCAGAGGGTCCGGGCAGCCAATCTGGGTGTCTCAGGAAGGCTCCTGGGTCACCTGGCTCCAGCTGATGTTCCCGGAACACCTGTGTTGTGTCTGAAGTTCTACATTAAAGGTATAATGGGGAGGGACGCCAGTGGGGGCTGCGCACTCGGGAAACCTGGAACTGACGCCCTGGTCAGCACAGTGGCCCCCAGAGAGGTCCTCAGCCTGATCCCGGTACTAAGCATAGGTGACCCTGTGGCAAAAGGGACTTTGCCATGTAATGAAGTTAAGGATCTTGGGATGGTGAGATCGTGGTGGCCCGATGTCCAGACAAGGGTCCTGCAGGGTCAGAGGTCAACCTCTGGTGTGAACAGAGGCATGAGTGGGACAGCCCAGAGCCTGGGGTGCTGACCCCTTCTAGAAGCTGGAAGGGAGAAGGGACAAGGGACAGATTCTTCCCCAGGGCCTCCAGAAGGAACCAGCTCTACAATGGCCTGACTTTAGCCTGGGAAGAGTCATTTCAGACCAACTTCTGAAACTGTAAGGAAGTGAACTTGCATGTCTTAAGCCACAGGGTTTGTGGCAATGAGTTACAGTGGCAATAAGAAGCTAATACAATGAAACATTAAAACCTGTTAAATAGAAGAAGCAATTTCCAAGTGAGACAGACACCCAAACCACTCGACTACCCTTTCTCCCTTGCTTTCTGCACCCCAGAGGCTGACACTAACATGCTTAATACCCAGTGTCCTTTGCAGTTAGCAGCGGCCAAGTGACACGGCTCTGACCTGTGAGACATGGTGTGGTAACTGCAGAGGTTCCTCATTCCTGATGCCACAGCCACACCTTGCTAGCAGCACTGCTCTTCCCCAGTGCTCCCCTCTTCCTGCCTAGAATGTGTGCCCCTGCCATGCCTGACTTAGACTCAGTCAGCTGAGCACACGGGAGCACACAAGACACCCAGAGCCGCAGGGCCGTGGGGAAAGAGCCGCTGTGCCTGCCCTGGCCCATCCACTCCTAGGTGCCTGTTGTAAGAAAAACTCCTGTTTCTTTCCTTTTTTTCTTTGCAGTGCTGGGGCTAGAACCCAGGGCCCTGTGCATACTGGGCAAGTGTTCTGCCCCTGAGCTACACCCCACACTCTCCTCCATAGGGTTTTCAGTTGGTTATAAAAAAGCTGCAGCAATTGGTGCCTGTAACAGAAGTTTATTGGTGCCATTCACTGGGGCTGTAGAAAGTGCACAGGAAGTGGAGGAATGCATTATGCAAAGGGCAGCCACACAGCCCAGTACACTGCCAGTCTGAATCCTGCCATAGATAACTTGCGCACTTCCTGCATTTGGCTGCGAGTTCTTTTCGGACAGCAGCTGATTTTCCTGTTCACATGCCCTCCTTCAGAGCCCAGAGCTGGATGTGGCAAGTGTTTAGGAAAACTCAGCTGCATTTCCAGCAACAACAATGCAGCTTGGAAGTGATCACAGGGTCACCTAGACCCCATTCTGCCAAGAGATCTAAATGGAGCAGAATTCATCACAAAATACTAGGGCCCAAAGCAATCAGTTACCAGCCTGGGAAGTAGGAGACCTGGGCTTTCAAAAGCTCACCAAGTGAGAATATTGCAAATGGGAATGAGGGCCTTTAAAGGCCACTGGGGTTTTGCAAGGGACCCCACCCACCCAACCTTGGAGGCTCAGGACGTGGATTTGAGTTTGAACTCATGACAGGCTGGTGGCTTTGCTGCTTAGCTGACCCCCTGCTACTCTGTTGTGTTGCATGACTTTCTAGAAATCTCCAAACCCCAGCTTCTGTATAAAACCCAGGGATCAAAATGCCCAACAGGTGGCTATGCAGTGATACATGTTACCATCTTCTGCACAAAACCTGTTTAAATATTTAATGATTTTTTTTAATACTGGGGATCGAACTCAGGACCTTGTGCTCGAGAGGCAGTTGTGATGCCACTGAGCTAAATCCCCTGCCCTACTTAATGGTACTGATCCTAAAACAAATCCAGAATTTTATTTCTGATGAAATACCCACTGTTCTAGTTATATTTTTCTCAATGCTAATACAAAATACTTGAGACTCAAAGATAAAGGGGGACAGGCTTATTGAGCTCCCAGTTTGTAGAGGTTTTAATCTATAATCAGCTGCTCCAAGGCAGGGTGGCATGGCAGAGGAGCATCAAGAGGAGAAACAGTTCATGCCAGGTAGAAGGTAACAAAGCAACAAGGAATGACTACAACTCTTTTTATCTCTTATAATTTATTTAGGCTCTTTAGGGCAGGTAGCACTCACATCTTTAATCCTAGTGCCCCTGATCTTAGTGTTGTAACAGGAATCAATTTCAGTGTCACACACTCTAGATCCAGCCACCTCTGAAAAAGCCCCACCTATGACTGCATGAGGCTTTGGGGGACCTCTAAACACAAATGATAACATTCTGCCCCTGGCCCCCAAAGACTCATGTGCGCCCTTATATGTTAAAGCCATCTAGGGCATCTCTAAGAGTGGCCATGGACCTAACAGCTTCAGCATTGCTGAAGAGTCCAAAGTCTCCTCTGAGATTTAAGGCAGACTCTTAGCTGTAAGCCCCTGTATAAATGAAAAGAAAGTTAAACACTTTTAACATTTAATGGCATAAAACAGACATTTTTATTCTAAAACTACAAATGAGGATAGCAAGGAATGGGAACAAAGCAAGACCAAAATCTAACAGGGCAAACATTAAATCTCAGTTTTACTTTTAGCATTTTTGGCAATCTGTGGCAAGTTCTGAACTCCAAAGGGCCTGGGTGGCTCCGCCCCTGCAGCCCTACCCGTGGCTATAGCTCTCATGGCTTCTCTCTGCAGCAGGCTCTGTTCTCTCTTTGTAGTTTTTCTCAGATGATCCATGTTTTTGGCTTTTTCTAAATTTTGGTGGTCTGTACTGCACCTTCGGCTTCACACAGCTTCACACACTGCGCTCTCAGGGGTACCCTGCCTGGCCTCCCAGGCCTTCTTCTGAAATCTGGGTGGAAGCCTTTTTGACCCCCAATTCTTGTATTTTGCATGCACCTAAAACCAGCACCGTGTGGATGATGCCAAGGTCTGCTGCCAGCTGGAGCTGTAGCCAGACTTTCTTCTCTCTTGGCTATAGGGCTCCAGTGCCTAGGAGCCAAATCCCAAGGAACAATTTCCGTAGGCTGCCGCCATCCTGGAACATGGTGCTCAGGGGCTTTCTTTTTAAGGCAAAGTCTTTTACCTGCAACTCTGACTCTGCAGAGGCTGAGTCCTGTTGGGTTTTGTTCTTTGATGTCTTCGGGCCATCTTTTTTGTTGTCTTCTTTTGAAATACTGGGCTTTTTCTTGCTAGTGTTTTCAGCGACCAGTTTCTCCTCTGTTCTATCTTTGCAAGCCTAAATTTTACAGGAGCTTTGCAATGTTTTAAATTGTTCTGCTGGGCTCTTTGCTCTTGATTCTCAACATAAATCTGGCTTTAAAAGCCCCCAACAGAAGCCATGCCACCACCTCAACTTTAGACTGCTTTGAAATTTCTTCTGCCAGATTAATTAGTCTGCTGCCCTTAATCTCAGTCTCAGGCAAAGACCCTGGACAAGAGCAAAATTGAGACAAATTTTCTGCCAAACTGGAGCACACATTGTCTGAGGTCCAGCAGCCAGTGCATCCCTCTTCCCACCAGAAACCTCCTGAGCTTGGTTTTTACTGACAGAATTTCTATCAGCATTCTGGCCTTCTGAGCTCTGACCAGAATCTCCCATCAAGTACAGCCTCGTGTGTTCCATGCTCTACTTTTGTAGCCAGCATTCCAAGCCTTTCCTAACTCTGCAACCTCACAAGCCAGCTCCAGGTACAGTCAAAGCAACGACCCCACTTCTCTGGTACCAAATTCTGTCTTAGTTACTTTCTTCTTGTTGTTGAAACAAAGTACCCGACACCCAAATTTAAAGAGGGAAAGATTTATTTAGCTCAGTTTTCAGAAGTTTTAGTCTCTTAATTGGCTGGCTCCAAGGCAGGGTGGCAGGGCAGAGGGCATCACAGAGGGCATCGCAGAGGAGAAACAGTTCATGGCAGACAGAAGGTAACAAAGCAACAGGGCTCTTCCTGTCTCTTATATCTTATCCAGGCTACTTAGGACAGGCAGCACTCACACCCTTAAACCTACTGCCCTTGAGCCTAGCACTGCACCATGAATCAATGCCAGTGTCTAGATCCAGCCACCTCTGCAAAACACACTCTAGATCCAGCCACCTCTGACCACATGAGGCTTTGAGGGACCTCTAGACACAGCCATAACACCCACAATTCAGCTAAAACTCTCTGGTTAAATTATTTAAGTGGCAGATTATGCGTAGCTGTTTTTTATATTTTATGTATTTACTTGCTAACGAGTGTAACGTTCTGAATTTTTCTTGGCTCTCGGGGAAGTTTCTCAAGGGGAGTTTTGCTTTCAAGAAGCAAGTGGAAGAATTAATGACCTCATCAACTGATTAAATAAGTATAATCCGAGACTGCTTTCTGGAGGTGCCTATGTCATGGTTAATCTACCGATTGATTGCCGAATAGCCCTAAATTGTCAGAAGACATTTACAGGTCATTTACAGGTTGATGGAAAAAAGAAGGAAAGAACTTCCTGTGGTTCAGATGAGTGTTAGTCATGAGAAGGAAAGCAAAACTCTTGGGCATGAGAAGCAGCCCTAGACACCAGCTGTCTTTTCCCAGTTGCATTTTGTTTTTTGTGGGGTTTTTTGTACCAGGGATTGAACTTGGGTCCTTGCGCTTGCGCAGCAGGTGGCAAAACCACTGAGCTAAATCCCTGGCTCTTCCCAGTTGCATTTTAACGAGGCCTGGGAGACTTTAGAGCCTGTTTTTGTAGGAAGTTGTTATAAATGAGGGGATGTGTGGAGGCAGCACCAGAACAGGTGCTGGGATGTGTTTGTGAGTGGCGGTCTGCTCCAGGGAGGTGTGGGACCCTTCTCCGGCCCGGCCCTGTGACCAGGGCAGGATCATGGCCAGAAGGACTTGCAAATGTGATGATCTTCAGAGCTTGAGATGGGGGCTCCCCTGCTTCGCTAGCCGGACCCCTGTATTCATGAGGTCCTTCTCAGCAGGGGTCGAGGACGCTGGGGTCCGAAGGAGGCAGTGTAAGGCGGGCTCTGTGCTGGGCGTGGCGGTGGAAGAAGCACTGTGAGCTAAGCAGTGCAGGGGCCTAGGAGTTGGAGAAGCCAAGAACAGGGCGTCTGCTGAGACCCCCGGGAGGAACACAGGCTGCTCACCCCTTATCTGAGCCCCGTAAGACCCCTTTCAAACTCCTGAGCTCCGGATGAGTGAGGTGATCAGTCTGGGTTGCTCTAATCCACCAGGTTTGTGCTCCTTTGTTATAACAGCCACGGGGAGCTAATACACCACTGCAGCTGAATGCTGCATGACAGATAGTCCCCAACCCAGCAGCCTGAAACACCACACATTCATCACCTCGGTTTCTGTGGGTGGGGAGCCCAGCCCCAGCATAGCTGCTCCTCCTCTCGGTCTCCCCAAGGAAGACCTGGGTGTTAGGGAGGGCTGGGGTCTCGTCCAAGGCTCTGTGGAGCAGAATCTCTCCCAAGCTCACATTCATGGTTCCTCGGACAGTGCCGAAGTTTCCATCTCCAGCTCACACTTTGCTTCTGAGCGGGGCTCTCTGTGTGCAGGGTCCACTAGATGGCCAGGGCTGGGATTTAGCATGTGTCAGACAGAGCTGTCCCCTCCCTGCCACCTGCTCAGTCCACAGACACATTGGAGACAGGCCTCGAAGTTGTCCTTGACCCACTTCCTTCTGCACCTTTCACCTCATTGACAGGGAGTCCTCCTGGCTGCAGCTCCAGCCTAAACCGGAAGGTATCCACCTCCTTCCCCAAAGTCTGGCTGAAGCCACCCTGCCTCCGGCCTGGATCACTGTGATGGGGCCCACTGGTCTCCCCGATTCTCAGTGCCTAGCCACAGTGATACTTTGAAGATATTCCACACGCCAGGCATTCTTAGGATTCACATTTGAAAATATCTTAACATGCCTCGAATTGAAATGCATCTTAATTGAAATGGCAATGCCTTTCGCTTTTATTGGTAACTAAAGCATTGGGCATCTTTAGTTGTCAGCACTGTAGATGTGATAAAAGACACCGCTTCACTTCCCTGACCCAGACCCCTGGTGGCTTCTCGTTCCAAGCAGGTTAAACATAGGTCCTCACTGCGCCCCATGAGGCCCCCGGCTCAGGTGCTAGTTGTCCCCCCTGCCTCACCTACTCATTCAGTGGCCAGCTCTCCTCCTGCAGCCTCGCTGGCCTGCTCTGCTCCCGAATCCTGCTCCAAGGCCCACGTCTCTCGCACTTCGAGGCCAGCCTTGACCTCACTTTTACACTGCATGCCCCCCTCCCCCAGCACCCAGTGTCTGCCTCCCTTGTGGACTTCAGGGCCTGCCCCCTCTGTGAGCCCTCCCTGCTTTCTGTGGGGGGATCACTGTTGAGCCTTGAGCACTCCATGGATATTAGTGTCTTTTCTTTCTCCCCGCAGTATATGAAAGTTTGGAACAAAAACCAAAAGATATGTGTCTTAGTCACTTTCCTGATGGCTGAGACACAACACCAGATGCCCCAACTTAAAGGGAGAGGTTTAGCCCGTGTTTGAGAAGTTTCAGCCCCTGCACGGTGGGGCAGCAGGGTGGAAGGGCCTGGGGGGAGGAAGGCTGCTCACCTCATGGGGGTCAGGAAGCAGAGCATGAAGGGAGGAGATGAAGCCCTCTAGGCCATGCCCAGGGACCACTTCTCCCCACAGCCCAAGCCAGCTGTAATCCAGGCACCCCTCATGCCTCTGAGTGCATGAGCCTTGGGGGACATCTAGATATAAACCATGACACTATCTGAGGCACAGAATGACCTGGTGGTGGCCAGAGAACCTTGCTGCTTCTGAGCTTGGGCTACCAAGTCTGCGACTTACCACACTTTGCTTATTTGTTTTGTTTGGTCTTTATGGTACTGGCAGTTGAACCCAGGGCCTTTGCACTGAGCTACATCCCCAGCCCTTTTTACTTTTTATTTTGAGATAGGGTCTCACTAGATTCCCCAGGCTAGGCTTGAATTTGCAGTTCTTCTGCCTGAGCCTCCAAGAGTGGCAGGATTGCAGGTGTGCATTATCTAGACACCCGGCTCTGTCTAACCATATTGAAGAGGTGGATGTGGCAGCTGCAGGCACTGTCTATTCTGGGGATCCTTGGTAATCCTTGAATTCTGTTGCTACTTTAATCTGTTATTAAAATTTACAGCAGGGCCGGGGATTTAGCTCAGTGGTTCCACCGCCTGCCTCGCAAGTTCAAGGACCCAAGTTCGATCCCTGGTACCAAAAAACCCCACAAAAAACAAAAAACAATAAAATTTACAGCAAAGACCCTCGTATGCTTTAGATACAATATTCTTTTTTTTTTTTGAGACTGGATTTAGGGCTTTTTACTTAGGCAAGCAGTCTGACATTGAGCCTCATCCCAGCCCTTAATTCACCTTTGAAAGAATCAAAACTGACCAGGTCCACTGGCACACGCCTGTAACTGCAGCACTCTGGGAGGCTGAGGCAGAAGGACTGCAAGTTGGAGCCCAGCCTGGGCAACTCAGTGACTTAAGAACAACCTGTCTAAAAAAAAAAAAAAAAAACTGGGCTGGGAATTTAGCTCAGTGGTTCCAGTGCCTGCCTCGCAAGCGCAAGGTCCCGAGTTCGATCCCCGGTACCAAAAAAGATTAAAAAGCAAACTCTGGGGGTGTAGTTCAGTGCAGAGGCCCTGGGTTCAATCCCAGTATTGCCAAAATTTAAAAAAAAAAAAAAAAAAGACTAAAATTTTCTAGAACGTTCTGGTTTCCCAAGCACTTTGAGAGATTCTCCTAAACTCAGGAGAGGAATGAGAGCCTAGTTTTAATGGAATGCTCCTGGTAAGGCAGTGTCGTCTGAGGGGGATCGAGGAATCCAGTGTGAGCGTTGGGAGCACAGGCCAGGATGGCCGAGGTCCCGGGGTCAGACCCTCCGTGGGTCCCACCCGTGGGCCGTGCGTCCCGGCCGCCTTGGTGTCAGCCTCGGTGTTCACGGGTCTTGATGAGTCCGGAGCACATTTCTCCTGGAGCTTAGACGGCCGGGGTGCGGCCTGGTGCTGCGGGGAGCAAATTTAACAGGACGGGGCAGAAAGCGGCTGTTACACAGGAAACCGAGGGCGCCCGCCCGCCCCTGTGTGCAGGGGTGGCTGGAGGACGGCGCGCTGTCCGCGGTGCTGCAGGCCCAGCTGCGCGAGGAGCAGGAGAGCGCCGTCCGCGGGGTGCTGGCCCGGCTGGGCGGCCTGGCGGAAGAGTGAGTGCAGCCCGGGGCGGGCGGGGGCCGCGGGACACCCCGGAGCAGGCTCGCCGACCCGGCCCTCTGTGCCCACAGGTCCGCGCGGGGCGTCGTCCGGGGCCACCGGCTGCTCCTGCGCGCCGCACTCCGCAGGCTGGGCCTCCGCGGCGGCGCCCTGGCCGTGCTGGCGCGCATGAGGCTGTCGGGGAGGAGGCGGCTGCTGCAGGAGCTGCGCGAGCAGCAGGCGCTGGAGCGGGGCGCCTCGCCCTGCCTGGACGAGCACGCGTGGCAGCTGCTCCGAGCCCTGGTGAGGCCCGCGCCGCCCCTGCCCACCGCAGGCCGGCAGTGCACTCCTCGTGGTCGTCCAGACCCCGGGTGGCGCCCGCGTCTGCTGGGGACCCCGAAACCAGCCCCACAGGCCAGGGGCTTAAGCAGCCCAGCTTCCCCTCACCCGCCCGGGAGACCAAGCTGGGCCGGAAGCCCAGGAGGGCGACTGCCGCTCTCAGGAGCTCAGAAGCCTGCGGCCCAACGGCTGTGACCCCTAGCGAGGCACTGGCCCCAGCTCCGACCCCTCGCCTCCTGCCTCTTACTCCTGCAAGGACGGCAGTCCCAGGCCCCGTGTCCTTGCCACAGCTTACGTGATGTCCCCAGCCCTAGCCCGGGCTCGGATCCGACCCCTAACCTGGCTCCACTGTGTGACTTCTGGAAAGTCGCTCAACTTCTCTGAGCCTTCGGGACCGCATCAGTCCTAGTGTCCAGGCCTCACCGTGTGGAGGCGAGAGGACGAGGCCCTGCGTTGCGTGAGGGGCCACAGCTGGCCCTGGACACACAGTTGGCCAATAAATGCTCTTCTCTGGGGAGGGAGGAGAAGTCAGCGGGCACCTGGGCTCAGCTGTTGCCAGGCGGCCGCCTCTTCCGCCCGGCGCCCCGACCCTCTCCTTGCCTGCAGGAGGCTCGCGTCCGGGAGGAGGCCGGCCGGCTGGAGGAGGACGCGCAGCGCACGCGGATGCAGCTCCAGCTGCAGCTGCTGGCCGAGGCCCAGGACGCGCGGCAGCGGCTGCAGGGGCACACGGAGCGGGCCGCGGGGCAAGCGCTGCTGGCGCACGCGCGGAACGCGGCCACCAGGAGCCGCGCCAAGAACCGGGACGACTTCAAGGTACGCAGCTGCCGCGGGGCTGAGAGTTCTGGACTCGGGCGGGCGGGCAGGCGGGAGGCTGCGCCCGAGGTTCCAGGCCCGCGGTGCTCCCTGGCCTCTGGTAGTAGTCAGCCTGCTCACCTGCAGGCCGAGGTTGGACCCACATTTCCGCGGCGCCCCACGCAGATCCCACGTGCGCCTCTGGTCATCGCCCCCACGCCCCGGGCTGAGCTCCGGTAGGGAGGGCTCCGTGGCCTCATTCTCCAAACAGAAATGTGGAGCGAGTGGTACCAGGCAGCCAGTGTCTCGTCTCCGCAGTGAGAGCAGGGACTAGCTTTCTCTTCCCAATCCATCGTCCTTGCCTGTATATATATTGGGGGGGGGCCCTCATGGTCTCAAAAGAGCTGCTGTCTCTCCACATATCATATCTGCATCTACCCAGGAAGAAGGAAGGCCACAGTCTTTCAACCCATCGAGTCCTTACCAAATATTAGAGAGGGGGCTTCCCCAGCACCGTCCCTAACGTTGCGCCTTACTGGCCAGCGCCAGGCCACATCCCCAATAGCCCACGGTCCTTGACCCGGGAAAATAAGATTATCCGTCACGACTGGTTTACGCCAACCGTGCACACCGCCGCTCGCTAACCGGCCCAGGCTGGGAGTGGGCGGGAGGGGAGCCCTGGGCAGGGGAAGGGGCACCAAGAAGGCTGTGGCTTCCTGCTGTCTCCCCGCCCCTCCTCCCGCAGAGGACTCTGGTGGAGACTGCGGCGGAGAGCGTCTACGTGACCCGCGCCAGCGCGGGCCGCCTGGTGCAGACCTATTACCAGCGCGCTGGCAGGCTGGCGCAGGAGCACGAGGAGCGGACGCTGGAGCAGCTGAAGACGCTGCAGGGTGCGCCGCCCAGAGACCCGAGGCCCGCGGGGCGCTTGCAGTTTCCGTGCGGGGTTGGAGATTCACGTTCGGGGGTTTTTTAAGTGGCGCTTTAAAATCGCATAATGTAGTGTGACAGCAGGGCGAGGACACGGCTAGGCCGGCAGGGGGAGGCAGGGGAGGTCGCTCTCTGGGACCCAGACCCGCAGCCCCTTCCTGGGGGTACAGGGAGACCCTGTCCGAGCTTCCTGGCAGCCGAAGAGATAAGCTCCCTTGGGAAAACTCACTGTCCCGACTGCGAGTGAGAGCAGGCCCATGTGAGGTTTCCCAGACCCTGGGAATCGGCTCCCGTGGGCTGCCGCCAAGGTCCCGTACCGGGTAACGGGGTAGACGGTGCCCGGTCCCAGAGGCCAGTCCAAAGCCGCTCACAGCCGCCTTCCTCACCAGAGCCTCGGGACGGGCCGGGTCCCACGCGCTGAGGCTTCCCTGCCGCCTGAGAACTGGCTGTGACCCATCCTCTAGGGGGACAGGCGGAGCCCCGGGCCCTGCGTGCCTGCGCTGCTCCCAGCTGCCCGCTGTCTCCCTGGTCCTGGGGTTCCCGAAACCTGGCCCCGCCCAGACACCTGCGCCTCCTCCTCTGTCCCCCTCACTAAGGGCCGAGAATTCCAGCCCACACGCAGCTCACTGAGGGTTCCCTGAGGCCCCACCAGATCAGCACCCGCGGGGCACCTCGCAGCGGGGAGTGTGGTGCCCTCTAGTGTCCCCCGGAACTGCCGGCTGAGCTTAGCCGGAAGGGGTCCCCTGCAGCTTGCTGTCCTCAGCGGGACCCTCGGGAGCACAGGGGCGCCATGGTAATATCAGTCTGGCCGATGGCGTGCACCAAGCCCATCCCAGGCACCTGGGCACTACTGAAAGATTTTAAAAGCCGCGCATATTCTGAGCAGCTGAGTGCAAAACAAGGAAGAGCTCAAGGTGGGGGCGTGGGTTAGTTTCAGCCCCTGCTGCGAGTCCTGCTCCCCGAGCCATGGGTGCCAGGCTGCCGTGATGCCCCTTCCTGGCACCTGAGACCCGGCCACGGCAGCTGCCACCTCAGGTGCACCCCACTCTGGGAACAGCTGTGTCCCACTCCCCTGGGACCCTGTACCCGCACCCGGGCCCACAGCTGACTGTTGTGTGTTTGCTGACTGACGCAGGTGAGCGGATCGACAGCTACAAGCTGCAGAAAAAGCAAGAACTCAGTGAGCCCTCGCCGGGGAGCCAGGCAGCGGGCAGTGGCCCCCAGGGGCTCCCCCAGAGGTGAACCCCAGCAGGGTTCCCCACCCCACCCTGTCCTGTGCTTCTCCTGCATGTCAGCAGATGACCCTGCCTGCGTCCACTCCTTCCCCGGGGCCCGATCCACTCTGCCCCACACACAGAGCCCAGAGCAAACACGGGGTTGCAATTCCTGTTGACATGGGACAGGGACGCAGAGTGACCTGGGGCTCAAGCGGCACTGACAGCCTCCGTCCGGCCCCCAGGGTGCTGTCCCGGCAGCAGAGTTTCCGGGCCCGATTCACCGCACACCAGCGGCTCCGCCTGGACGCGCAGAGGCAGAAAGCCCGGGCCCTGGACCAGCTGGAGACCCAGCTGGAGGCCCAGCTGCAGGTAGGGCCGCCTTTGAGGGCCGTGCAAAGAGGAATGGAAGTAGCACAGCCCACGGGGCCACTGGGGGGACCCTGTGTGCCCACCCCAGCCTCTGCGCTTCCGTGTCTGTGGCATCTTTGAGCTGCCGAGTCCCATTGGCCAGGGCCGGCATGCAGGTCTGTGGAGGCAGCCGGGTCAAGTGAGTCCCTCCGTGCTGATCAGCACCTTTGGGCCGTGCCGGTGACGACTGAGGCGTCACTGAATGTGAGAATGCAGGGCGCTCGCTCTGGAGACATAAAGTCGCCATTCCACCCAGAGGTCCCGTTCCCGTGAGAGTTAGCTACGATGCCGGTGAGCTCCTTAGAAATCTGCCAGAATGGGCGCGTGTGGGTTTTGACCCTCAGTGTAACCAGACAGCATGGCCTTAGTGACCTGACCACCATGAGATGTGACAGCTGGTTGTGAACGTGTGTTCTCTGGGGCCTGTCCCAGGCAGTCGCCGAGCCCGAGGCTTTGCACAGAGGAGGAAACTGAGGCTCGCAGCGGGGAGGAGACTGGCCAGGGGCACACAGCTTGCAGGGCGTGGCCCCAGGTCTGTCCCCTGTGCTCTCCCCTGCTCCGGAGCTCTCTGGCAGCGTCCTCTGCACCGGGGTCATGTCTCCCGGCCAGCGACGGGATCAGGCTCCAACCTGGTGGAGGGGACCCGTTGGGGGGCGGCCAGCTGATGCCCTGTGTTCGCCTGTCAGGAATCCGAGCAGACCTTTGTCACGGAGCTGGCGGCGCTGGCCCGAGTGCCCCTTGTGGACAACAAGCCAGTCTCCAGTAAGCGAGGGCAGCCGGGTGAGTCACTGGTCAGGTGGGCAGGGAAACCCGGGCTCCTGGCCCACCACGACCCAGCTGTGTAGGAGTCATGAGATGTGATCAAAGTATGCAGTGAATGTTTACTTTTCTAAAAATTATTACAGTAAAAGACACGTTGCCCGAGTCCCTCACAGCCCTCCCACTTGCTTCCCATATGCATGTCCCATTGTGCCTGCCGTTTTCTGCAGCAAGTCCGGAGTCCTCTTTCTTGAGGGTCTTCAGTGCCCTGTCATGGCTGCCTTCGGGGCCTGGATTGACTACACATGTTTTGCTTTCATGGTCATTTTAACTTTTTCTGAGAGCAGGAAGTCGCACAATGCCAGATCCAGTGAGTAAGTTGGATGAGGACCAGCGTCTTGTTCTTATTTAACAGAAATTTCTTTCCATATTTGATCGAGAGGTGGCCCAAAAGTATGATGATGTTTAAATTAAAAATTTATTATAGTAAAAGACACATTGCCATTAATCCCCTGAAAATATCCCCTCTCCCTTCCAACACACTTATCCCATCTTTTTGGCAATGTGTCTTTTACTGCAATAATTTTTTTTTATTTAAACACCGGATCCTTCTGTACCTAACATCTCTGGGCTCCTAGTCCCATGTCTAAAAAATTAGACAGCTTCCCAAAATAAAAGACCCAGTCAAAAATAGGCAACTGAAATGAATGGACGGTTCCCAGAAGGACAAACGGACAGTAAATACATGGAAAATGCTCAACATCACTGGCCACTAGAAAAATGCAAATTAAAGCAGCAACAAGAATGGCCATCATCAAGAAAGCAGATAACAGGTGGTGGGGTTGGGGATGTAGCTCAGTGGCACCACGCCTGCCTGGCAAGTGCAAGATCCCAAATTCGATTTCCAGTCCAAAACCAAAAGAGCTGGAGAGGCTGCAGTGGGGAAAGAAACCCTTCTGCATTGCTGGTGGGAGTGAAAACTGGTACAATTTGGAACCACTATGGAAATCAGTACGGAAATTCCTCCAAAAACTAAAACTAGAAATTCCATGTGACCCCTTCTAGGTGTCTTGCTGAAAGTTAAGACATCATACTACAGGGATCCATGCACACCCATGTTTATAGCAGCACAACTCATAATAGTGAAATTTCAGAAGCACCCTATGTGTCCATGAAATGGTATTTATACACAATGGAGCACTACTGTGCCTTAAAGAAAGATAAACTTGAGTCATTTGTAGGGAGATGGATGCACCTTGAGACTGTTATGTTCAGTGAAATAAATCAGACACACAAGCTTAAATATTGCATGGTTTCTCTTATATGAGAAGCCCAAAGAATAAATACATTAAAGAGAAAAATAAAATAGATAATAGAACATAGGGAGACAGATTTTGTTTTGTTTTGTAAAATGGAAGGAAGGGACCAAGACATGGAGGGAGAGGAGAGGGCAGGGAGAGAGGAGATGTAAAGAGAATTAGGATGTGTCGTGTGCATGTACCAACAGCCCACGATGAATGCAGCCCTCATGGACTGCAAATGTGTAGTAATAAAAATGAGAATGAAAGAAACGCAGAGGGAGCCTGACAGGTGGGTTCTCCTCCGCTCTGCCCCTCAGTGCTGTGGTGGCTGGGAGGGAACTTGCCTTCCCTTCCTGGGCCTCAGTTTCCCTGCTGGTGAAGGCCCACAGAAGGGACATGCAGTGTGAGGCAGGGCATCCAGTCACAGAGCCGGCCTTCCGTGTCTGTCTTCTGCAGAGAAGCCACTGAGGACCAAAAGGAAGAAACCCCCACCCCGGGACAGAGGGGACCTGGGGTCCCCCACCGATGACGACCCCGCCTCTGTGGACCCCACGTCAGGATCTCCCAGGTGCCAGGGGTCCCCAGCTTGTCAACCGGGTGCTGCCTGACCCCAGTGGGGGCGGGGTTGGCAGGAAGGGGGGCCCTTCTCGAGAGGGCCCAGGAGGCAGTGACTGGCAGGGCTGGAACAGTGACCAGGCAAGGCGCTGGCACGGGCACCTGGGCATTGCTGCCCGGCTGGGGGCGGGGCGGGTCACCCCATGCCCCGGGTACAGCGGGAGCTGAGCCCACACCTGCGTGAGGCCCTCGTCGCCTGGCCTCAGATGCTCCCCGCTTCCCTCAGCGGAGGCCGGGGTCTCTGCTTGCAGTCTCGTTCCCGCTGCCAAGCTCCTGTGGCCGCCTGTCGCTGCTGCTCCTCTCTGCCCTCACTTGGCTGAGTTGGGACAGAGGGGCTGGGTCCCCCAAGCCTTCCGGTCTCACGGCTGCCTTCATTCCGTGTCCTAAGCAGCAGAAGGCGGAGTCAGCAAGAAAGCGACACAGGCGACGGCACCCGTGCTAGGAAGGTGTTGAGGAAAAGAAACGATCTGTAGCTGCCCGCCAGGCTCTGGCCGGACGTCGGTGGGGCCGGGCGCGCACAGTATGTCCCTGCGTGCTGAGGGCACTGGCGCAGGGCCTGACAGTCCCCAGAAAGCGCGCTGGGGACAGCAGTCCCCGGGTGGGGACCGTGGGGAGCTGGCATCGGGAAGGTCTGGGCTCCACATCTCATTCTCTGTGGGCCCCAGCGCCATCCCTCCTGGTTCCCCTTTCCCCCGAGAGTCCCCCTTCCATCCCGGCCCTCTGGCCCCCACTGCAGAACTGGCCCGTCCGTTCTGCACTGAGGTCCTTGTCACAGCTCAGCACAGCCCAGCACCCTGGCTCCTGGGCCCCGTGGGGTCTCTGCCGCCTCCGTCCGGCTCTGAGCTCCACCGCACCCCACACTGGCCATCACCCACCCTGCTCTCTGCATCACATCGGGAGCAATGCCTGGCCTGGGAGCTTCCTGTCCCCTGCTCAGCCCCTGCTGACACCAGGGCCCCCCTCAGGAGGGGTCTGAGTCCAGGTCCCCAACTCCAGCTCAGACCTGGGTCCCTGGCCACAGGCCTCCCCTAGGCACCCGGCCAGACCCCCAGACACCATCACCTCCAGCCGGGCTGCTCTTCGGGGCCCTTGAGGACAGGCACGGAGCCCTGGCACCAACCAGCAGCCCTGTGGGGAAGGCCCCGGTCACCTGCTTTCCCCCAGCCCCACATACGCCACAGCCCGGGGCCCCAGCTGGCGGCCTGCACTCGGGTGAGGGGATTCCTTGTTTGGGACGTGAAGGCCACAGTGCAAGATGCGGTCCCTCACGTCAGACCCCAAAGGAGTGGAGCCCTCGGGCAGGGGGACACCGGCCTTCCTGCCTTCGGCCTCCCAGAGCCTGGCCCCCGGGATCTGCCCCAACACATCCCTACCCACTCCTGAATAAACGCAGGCATTTAAAATTCAGTGTCACGGCACGTTTGCAATACGGGGCTGCTTTCAATGTGGGAACTCCGGGCATGCACACGACACACCTTAATTTTCACATCCCCTTCCCTGTCCCTTCCCATCTGCAGGAGCTCTGTCTCCCCGCTTCCCATCATCCAGCTTTCATTGTGCTCTTCATTTATACTATGGATTTCTCACATGAGAGAAACATATGGTCTGCAAGCTTGTGTGTCTGCTTTACTTCACTTAACATTATGGTCTCCAGGTGCATCCATTTTCCTACAGATGACTCAGGTTTATCCTTCTTTAAGGCAGAGTAGTGCTCCATTGTGTGTAAACACCACGTTTCTTTATCCATTCATCTGCTGATGGACATGTAGGCTGCTTCCAAGATATAGCTGTCATGAACTAGGCTGCTATGAACATGGGTGTGCGTACATCACTGTAATGTGATGCCTGTAACTCTTATGGGAAGGCAGACTCCACCGACAGTGCAGCTTCTGCAGCATTTGTTTTTATTTGATTTCTTGAGGATGACCATGTTTTCTGAGGCAAGATGAAATCTCAGTGTTATTTTAACTTGCATTTCTCTAGTAGCCAGTGATGTCGAGCATTTTCCATGCATTTATTGTCCGTTTGTCCTCCTGGGAACAGTCTATTCCTTTCAGTTGCCCATTTTTGATTGGGTCTTTTATTTTGGGGGTCTAAGATTTCGTGTTCTTTATATATTCTAGATATTAGTCCTCTGTCTGGGGAGTAGCTGGCAAAGAATTTCCCATTCTGTGGGCTGTCTCTTCACTCTCTTGGTGGTTTGCTTTGCTGAGCAGAAGCTTCTCGTTTTGACAGCCCGTTTGCTGGCTCTTGATGTTGTTTCTTGTGCAGCCGAGGCTCTGTTCAGAAAGTCCTTGCCTGCGCCTGTGACTTCGAGGGTTTTATCTGTGTTATCTTCCAGGGGGTTAAGCTGGACGCGTGTGTTCTGAGAGCCCCCCTTCCGCATTACGCAGGCCGATGAGGATAGCACCCTCGTCCACGGTAGACTGGCTGTGACACCAGCAGTGTCCGGAGGTGCCCAGGTCCCCGGGTCACCAGTCACTGACCAGGACCGGCCTCCCTCCCGGGACAAGGCCAGGCAGGGACATCTCCGTGCTGCCTGAGCGTCAGAACTTAACGAGTAGCCGTGACTCTGGAAGCCCGTCTTGGAGATCTTCGGGGCCACTTGTGGATTTTAATTTCTCAAAATCCGAATTAGACTCTGCTAGAAGTTTTGCGGAAGCAGCGATCCGTCCTCTGCTGTTAGAAGCTTCCGCCCATCCTTAACCCCTAGCTGACGTCCCGGGTGGGGTTTTCAGATTTAGCCAACAGTGCCCTCTGGTGGCTCTGTGCGGCACTGCAGCCATCGAGTGAAAAGCTGAATTGTGCAACACTCAGGACAAAGTTTAGGCGGTGACTGTCCCGCGGGTCCTCGGAACTAGGAGTCTGAGCAGGTGGCGCTTGTGTGCAGATGCCTAGTTCGGTAGCGGGACTGTGGCAAATGCAAACCCAGCCCCACCCCTCCAGCGCCATGGCCTGAAGTCCTCGGCGCCCTTTAAGTACCCCAAGGCCGAACCCAAACCCTCCCCTCCTCCCCAGCCCACTGCGCAGCCTGCTTCCAAGTGTCCCCTCCTTAGCCCAAGGGAATTTGCCGTGCGCTCCTAGACCCCGCCCCATGCTTGCCTCTCACCTGCCCTGCTGTGACTTCACACCTGGGACTGGGGCAGGAATAGCTCACCTGGGAAGAAAGGTCGGCCCTCGGAGCCGCTTTCAGGGCCTGGACGCAGTAACAGAACTACCCCTGATTAAAACACCGGCAGCTTGCTCAGCAGGGTCCCGGGCGTGGGGACACCCGAGGCTGGGTCAGAGGAGATAAGGCAGGAGGCCCCAGGATGAGGCAAAGGGCCTGTGCCCACTGTGGAGCCCCTGCACCATTGTGAGGGGCTCTGACCCCTGCCAGCCGGTCACCCCGAGTCACCTAGGACCAGTGACCTGGGCTGCTGCCCGGCGGGGGAGGCTGGAGGCCTTCCATAGCTCTCCCAGCAAGGCCCGGACCCCCGCACCCTGGAAGGAGCCACCAGCGAGCGACAAGCGCCTTTTCTATGAGGCCGAGTGGCCCCTGCCCTTTCAGGCAGGACTTCTGTGGGTCAGCAGCACGGAAAATAGGAACTGCGGTTTGCTGGGAGCCCCTTGTTTAGGAACCCCCTGCTCTCGCTCTGGGCCCTTACATGGAATGGACGAGAGGGAAACTTCAGGAACTGCCGCCGTGTATGTGCACAGGCTTTCTGCCCAGTGCAGAGTGAAGGGGCGGGTCCTGTGGGCCCTTGGGCAGCAGCCCACTCCGTCCCCAGTCCACGGCAGCTGCCACGCTGGGGTGCGGGACATGCTGGGCCATGCAGGCCACCTGCAAATGGCCCAGGCTGTGCAGACAGGAAGTCAGGCAAAGGCCCAGCCACGCATCCCGCTCTGTAGAGGAGGCGGTGTCGGCCAGGAGGGTAGACAGGCACTTCGTGTGTTCGCAGCCCACCGGCTCCATGGAGCCAGCTGCGGTGAGAACACTCGCCCCGTGGGGGAGGTAGACACTGCCCAGAAGGGTCTCCACCCCACAGGGGCAACACTGTGGGCCGCTGTCACAAGGAAGCCACACGGTGTAGTCACCTGGTGTGGGCAAAGGCTTCACTGGAGAACGGGCTTTGTCATCTAAGCTGCGGCTCCATCCGAGACCACAAGGGGGCACTGACCTCCAGTCTCGCCGTCCATCACACAGGAGTCATTGCGAGGCGGCTCGGAGTCCTACGGGGAAACTACAAATTCGAAAAGAAAACTGGCCGAGATGCCCACGGCTAAGCTGCAGCCCGGCAAGGGGCTCCCGTGGGAGGTCGCTGAGGCCGCAGGGCTGAGGGAGAGAACAAGTCGCCCTCCCTGGAGCGTTCTCGAAATCCCTCCCCACCTCCCACGCTCTCACGAGACGGAAGGAAACCGTGCCTGAAAAGGAATGGCGCGATCCAGCCTGGGCAACTTAGTGATTTACTGAGACCTCGTCTCAAAAAAACCACTAGAATTACAAAAGGACAGGGCATGTAGCTCAGGGTGAAGGCCCTGGGTTCAGTCCCCTGTTCTGTAAAGAAAAAGGGCGAGGTCATTGCAGCTCAGCTCCAAGGTGAAGACCCCCCTGTCTTACTGTGCTGCTGTCCCCTGCACCTGTGTCCCTTGGAGCTCCTGCCCTTGGTTCCAGGTGACCCTGCTGGGGCTGCAGCCACCTGACCCATCAGACTGCCCTAGGAGCAGACATTAGGACCCCTTCCGCTTCCACCCTGGGGTGGGGTGGGGGTGAGGAGGTGCAGCTCTGCAGGCTCGGGTCACCTGCTTCCTGTGTCGCCCTGTAATGGTTCAAATGGGCCCACCCCAAACATCACAGCCAGCCACTCTTCCACCCATGTTCCTCCAGCCGCAGCTTCCAGCCTGGATTCCAGAAAGTCTAGCAGACCCAAGGCAATAACACACTTTTGACCTTGGTGCACCTTTGGGGTTCTAACGGGGCTGAGGGGCTGGGGGAGGCAGCTAAACCATCCCCAGCCTCCCACCTCCAACTGCAGATCCTTATGCCAAACTCCCTGGGTCCCAGGTTCAAATCCCAGTTCTGACCCTTTCTCACTCTGTGATCTTAGAAGAGTTGTTGGCCAGACTGTGACTCAGTTTCCTCACCTGTACAACGGGGCTGTGGTTTGAATGGCCCCATGGGCTGATGGTTAATCCCCACAGGGAGGTGGAAACTGAACCAGCCATGGTGTTTAGAGGCAGAGCCTTTGGGGTGATCAGGGCTAGATGAGGTTGTGGCGGGGGGACCAATCCTGTTGGCTTTATAAGCAGAGACCAAAGGAGACACACCTGTGGGCAACCTGCACTCCCAGCCTGGCCAGCTGGGGACCGCCAGCCGGGGCCCAGACTGCACCTCTAGAACCTTGAGCCGAGCTCATTGTAGTAATGCAGAACAGACCAATGCACAGATGTTAATATCCCCACACAGCCCCTGCCTTACAGCAAACACGAGCCGGTGCCAGCCTGAGACCATCTCCCCTCATCCTCACCATCGCTAAAAGCTGCTGCACATGCACCATGCCCGCGTTGTTGCCTTCTTAGAATGCATGAAGTGTGATCAAAATACACAGTGAATGCTTAAATTTTAAAAACTTACTACAGTAAAAGACAGTGCCATGAATCCTCCTAAAAATCCTCCCTCTTGCTTTAAACACACTTATCCCATTGTTCTCACCACTTTCCACTTTCTGGAGTCCCCTGATGTATCTCTGTGAGGTACAATCAAAAACACAGTGAATGTGGCTGCCAAGAACCATCCAACACAAAGACAAAAGACATGACACTGTCCTCGTCCACCTTTAGCCACCCGGTCTGCCTGTGACTTCTGGCTCTTCTCCAAAGTCAAAATAACCACAAAAGGGAAATGTTTTGAATCCATTCAGGACACTGAGGCAGCCAGAACAGCACAGCTAAAGACACTCAGGAGAGAGGACTCCAGAGCTGCTGCAGAAATGGGCAAGAACCATGGGATAAGTGTTTCAAATGGGAGCATTCTGAGGAGGATTCATGGTAATTTGTCTTTTACTGAAAACATATTTTAAAATTTAAACATTCACCGTAATTTCATCACACCTCATAGGTATGGCTCATGGTAGTGGAAGGAAGAAATAAGCAGTCTGGGTCAGTTTCCAATCTCAGGCGGACAGCACAACCCGAGAGGACAGAGGGAAGGCGGAGCGTGAGGGGCCCACACCGCGACATCCCCATTTTGTCTTCCTGTCCGTGGGTTTTAGGGTCAGAGCCTAACACTCCCCAAGTTGGGAGCTGGTTCTCCTTCCTCCCTCCTCTGCCTCCCCAGCTGAGCCCCCGATGTTCATTACAGGGTTGGAACTGCAGAGCACAGCCCAAGTGACCCAGCCTGTGCCAGACATGGAAGTGCAAGCCTGTAATCCCAGCACTCTAGGAGGCTGAGTCAGAAGGATTCCAGTTTGGGCCCAGCCTAGACAACTTAGCAAGACCATGTCAAAATTAAAAATAAGGGCTGGGGACATAGCTCAGTGTGAAGTCCCTGGGTTCCAAGTTTGAGTCATTTGTAGGAAAATAGATTCTGTAGGGAACGGGAAAGAGAATGTTACTAGAACCCGTGCAGGAGGCCCTGGTCTCCTGTGAGCCACAACAGCACAAGGGCTACAGAATAAAGACAGGAAGAGACTTAGAGAAAAGGCTGGGTTCGGGGCCTGATTAAGTGCTGCTCTGGACAGCAAAGTCAAAGGCACCCTGAGATTGCCATTATTTATTGGGTTCATAGGGAGTAACAGATGAGTCAGAGGACAGTGATAATCCTAAATTGATGAGGATCTTATAATCAGAGGGGTTATCAGATGACTGGAGGGTGGCTATAATCCTATGATGATGAGCATCTTTGGTCGCTAAGGAGCTTATGTGGATTAGGATGGTAAGATGAGCAAAAGTTCTCACAAGAGTAGGTGGAATGAGTTAACCTGATAAGGAACTTGTCCCTTAAAGTGAAACCTTTCTCTTTTTGTATTACTACTAGGTTCTCAAAGAACCAGGATGTCTTCAGTTTATGTAATCCTGCCCTGGAGTGTCATAGCATCAGGGGACCATTGAGGACTCAGCTGTGACCAGAGGCAAAATGGAATTATGTTTCCACATGCCATAGCTGGCCCACAGGCAAGAAGACTAGGCTTCAGACAACCCTAATCATAATTTAATTGTGAAATGATTTTTCCCTCCAAATTATGTAGGATGGCTCCCAACAGGATTTACCTTGAAACCATAATGCTAAGTAAAATGAATCAGGCACAGAAAATATTGCATGGTTTCTCTTATATGAGACCCAAAGTATAAAGAATTTCAAGATTAGAATAAAGATGGGTGAGAGGAAAGGCAGAGGTCAACCTTGTGGAGACAGAAAATGTAGGGATGGTGGTAGATGGGAGGGAAGATGCAGTGTGAACCTGTGCCAATGTCCCACGAAGGATGCATTTATTACTGTATTACTGCAAATGTATACTACTAAAAAGTAATGACAGAAAAAGAAGAGCCACAGTCAGGTCAGCGAGCAGTTCAATTTCTTTATTTTTTTTTCACAAGCTTTGAATTCAGAAATAAGAACCACAACAAGTCAGTCATTAAGTAAAAATGGGGGTGATTACAAAGGAAAACTGTACAAAACGTTAAAAATCTGAATGCCCCATCCACCTCCTTGGAGGTGACGGGGCAGGGCACCTGGGCAGCTGTCCCCCACCGTCCGCAGCCTGAACAGGGATGGGGCCCCTGTGAACCGGGCCCAGCCAGAAGCCCAGAGCTGGCTGGACGGACACAGAGCAGAGAGATGTGGGCAAGGGGGTCACAGAGACAGGGTCTGACACAGGACACGCGGAGTTGGAGACCAGGTGGGAGGCCCTGCCGTTCTGAGAAATCACAGGTCTCCGTGGGGCGGGGCGGGGTGGGGCCGCTTCTTTCTGGGGCAGACCAGGGCGGGGTGTTCGGCAAACAGCTTCTTTCTGAGTTTGGGCCTGGCCCTGAGGCTGAGGTCTCGGGTGGTGTCTCCCACAGTCCTTGGTCATGGCTGTGGCCGCACTCAGACTCGCATACACAGCTTAGAACATGCATCAAACTATCCTAGGTCACTACGAGGCGCAAAGGAGCCGCCACTCACAGGGTCATGGAGCCACTGAGGTCACAGTGGGGGACAGGACAAGACAATGCTAAACCTGCGGAGCACGAGGGAGGGGAACGGAAGCCACGCTCCCAGGCGGGTTCGGCGTGAGCACACAGCTGTGGGCAGGGGTTTCCAAGCAAACACACCACACTACACCACTTCTTCCTAGGCCAAAAGGGAAAGGACATCACTCAGTCCCCAGCAGTACCAACTAAAGCTGTGGGTTTCAGGGGCAGGGACAGGAGGAGGGTGGACTGTGCTCCCAGCATCCTTCGCTCTCTCCCATCGGCTCCTGCGGGGTCAACCGAGGCTGGTGATGTTGGAGCGGCCACCAGGGGGTGCCACGATGCGGTGGCCCGTGCGCCGGGGGTTGTTGTCATCTATCTGGGCACCTGGGGAGACAAGAGACGTCACGGCTGGGCGAGGTGGCTCAGTTTTGTGGGGGCCTCAGCTTCCTCTGTAAATCGCAGGAGCAGCCCACTGCACACACAGGGCGCGGGGAGGACAAAACCAGCGGGAGGGTGGGCCGAGCAGGGGCAGGGCGCAAACGGCCCGCTGTGGCTGTGCCGGGCACTTCCAGCCATGTTAGGATCGCCCCGCTGCCCTCGGGGCGGGGAGGGCCCGCGCCCACCTGACAGGCTGAAGTTGGACTGGTGCAGGTTCCTGATGGGCGGCGGCTGGTGCTTGGAAGGCGAGGACTTGGCGGAAGGAGCGGGGGTTGCATATTTGGGTGTGGCTGGCACCTCGTACACAGGCCCGTCGTACATGCCCCGGGAGACCCCGTGCAGCCCCGAGACCTGCGGAGCGGCGGAGGGGGTGCTGATGTGGCGTGTGCATCTGCGTGTGCCAGCGTTCCTTACACACGAGGGCGCCCTGCAGGGGAGAGGTCACCCCCACAGGCACACAACCGGATCGACACTCATAAGTATGCACACGTATGTATACACACAAGGACACACAGCTCCAGGCAGAGGACCCCAAATCCACCCACAGAAGCAATCTCTCTCCCTGACCCCACCCCCGCCCGGCCAGCCCGAGTCCCAGGCCCGCACCTAAGGCCTGTTCTCCTCTGCCCCTCAGAGCCGCATGGGAGCCAAGGTCCCAAGCCAAGGAGATGATTCCAGAAAGGGGTAAGGAGGGGGGTGGGCAGGCAGAGCATGAGTGGGCCAGGCCTTCGGACAGTGGCTGCAGGGGCCCCACGAGGGGCCCAGCTCTGCCCTTGGGAGCACAGGGGCGACTGCCCGGTGATGGGAACCCTGCCGGCAGAGCTGCTGGCACCACTGGGCTGGCTGCTCAGGAAGCCGAATGCGTAGCCAGCGGCCTTGGACAGAGCCGTAGGGTGGCTAGAGTCTGCCAGGCCTTGGAGCACAGTGTCCAGGGACCGTTCAGGGCCAGTCAGTGTCCTGACCCCATCCCCAGTCCTCCCTCTCCTCTCTACAGCAGGCTAGTTTCGGCTCCAAGTTCACAGGCCCAGACCAGGCACAGGCTCAGCCCTCCCGCATCCCAGCCAGGACTCTGTCACCTGCACCCTTCCTCCTGTGTCCTGGGCCACGCTCCCAGCTGTGTGGCCAGCGCCAGGCTCTGTGTAGCCTCTGCCCCTGGCCTGGCCTCTCCTGTCTCCAGCCTGTGCGAGGGGACCCGGGGGCTTTCTGCCCCCACACAGAGGCACTGGTGCCCGAGGGCAGGCACCTGTTCTTCCAGAAGCCAACTGTCTGCCTCGCACCTCAGCCCTGACCAACTTGGAGGGGAGAGGGCGGACCGGGGGTGTCCCAGCCGGACAGCCCCAGAGTCCCCTGTTATGCCCCTTCCACCCTGGGCCTGCAGTGTTCTTCTCCGCATGCAGCTCTGCGTGACAGAGGGGCAGCAGCCGGCTGGGAGCACCCACAGGTGCTGGGGTCGGGCGAGGTGCCTTCAGTCTGCATGGGGAACAGCGCAGGTGCACAGCAGAGCCTCACACATTCTAACGCTCATGCACAACACACGTGCACACACCCTGCTGGCCCTTCTGGCACCTGACACAGGCTGGCCCTGTGGGAAGCTGGTTGCCATGGTGACGGGGACTCGCCACCTAGGAGCTGCAGCAGATGGGACAGAGCCTCCTCCGTGCCTCCGCTGGGGCCTCCCGGGGGCAGGGTGAGGTGTACAAAGGGGGCATACGTGGCTGTGACACTTGTCACCTCTGCCCAGGACAGAGCCTGAGCCCCCACACAGGACATGGCTCCGACCGACTCCCGCGCCCCCACGAACCTTGTTGCGGATCTTGACGCGCTGGTAGAGGTGCTCGGGGAAGGGCTTCCTCGGGATGAAGCGGCCCACGCCCTTGTTGACGTTGATGTTGCCGTCTTCAAAGACGATCTTGCCCTGGCTGATGACCACCAGCGGGGAGCCATGGCACTCCATGCCCTCGAAGATGTTGTATTCCACCGCCTGCCACCCAAGATGCACAATGCAAGCTTCACTCAGCCGTGACTCCTGGGGTTTTGCTCTGCATGAACTGTGTCACTCTCATGGGTGACTTTGCTTAACATTGGGGAGCAGGGTTTTCCCAGGTGATCACCCCTCTCTGAAAGCATCTCTTCAGGGCTGCAAGTGTCTCTCAAGGTCTACAGTGTGCATGAACCACACCCCTTGCTGGGCACTTAGGTCACCGGTGGCTTGAGAGAATCAAACAAATACTGCTCTGGGGCATCATGAGTGTGACACGCAATACGGCAGCTATGACTACACTGGACATCCCTGTGCCTTTGTTAAAAACTGATTTTTTTTTTTGGTACCGGGGATCTAACTTTGGGACCTTGTGCTTTCGAGGCAGGCGGTGGAACCCCCAAGATACATCCCCTGCCCAAAAACTGATTTTTTAAAGTTAGCTTTCTAAAATGAAGCTACCAAGTCAAAGGGTGTGGACTTCCTTGAAGTACTTGTTACACACTCTATTTCCAAATTCCTGTCCAAAGGGCTCAGACCACATTGCTCCATCTGCCATCGAGGGAAAGAGACACATCTCCAGCATGGGGCGAACTGCAAGGACTAAAGAACACTGCCTTAAAAGTGCGCATTTCCTGCCATTAGCCCTGACGTGAACACCTACCCTGTCTGGTAACTACCACCAGCCAATTGCTCTTTATTTATTCTTCTGAAAATAGGTCATGTATGTAGTTGGAAAAAAAGAGGGTACAAGATATTCTACTAAAACTGGTCTCTCTTCTACCACTGAGGCACATGCCTATAAGAGCCTCTTCCGTACACCAAGACACTTCCTGTGTGTGAATAACTTGCTGTGCCCCAGGCAGTCCCAGCCCACACAGGCGCCCTGAGTGTCCCCCACCCAGAAGTGGCACACATATATGGTTCCAAAAGGTAACCTGCTCTACTGCACGTGTCACGCGGATGCGCAGTCCTCCTGCTGCCTGGTTCCACATTTGGGTCATTTCTACGCTTCTGCTGAAAACAATGGTAAAACACACCATGTGCGCCGAGCTGTGGGCACAGTCAGGAAGTGGAGTTGTGGATTTCCACCTCTGAGAGCTCCACGCCCGTGACACTGCATGAGGCCCCCTGTCCGCCCGGCTGCTTCTATTAACATCTCCACATCTTCTCCACTCCTGGATCTCACTGCTGCCCTGCAGCACCCGCTGCTGCTACCTGCCTTTGTTAGTGAGATTCCGCTCTCTTCAAAAAATCAACACACGCCTCTGCGCCTCTTTTCTACCTTAGGTTTTCCTGTCTCTCACTGATCTCCGACCACGCGTGTGGTAGTAAGGAATCTTTCTTATCACATGTTGCAAATACCTCTCGATCGCATCTACAGCCACTCTTTGGCCACACAGAAGGCTATTCTGTGGCCAACAGTCCGACAGACCAATCTTGCTTTTATGACTTCTAAGTTTTATGCCTTGTTTCCCCTTCAAAGTTGTCATTCTTAAGAGGACTTTATTCTTCTTTCTTTCCTTACTCTTGGATCCCTTTTGGTTCTTTTTATGATAAAGTAGGGCAGAAGTGAAGCCTTCTGAGCTAGGTGTTCCAACATCTCTGGTCGATAGCTCTATTTCCCTTTCACTGCTTCCTTTACTGTAGAACAGGTCTACACGTACTAATCTAATTCTTGGCTCTCTGTTCCCTCATCCCATACCACATAGCTTGGTTTACTGTGGCTTTGTAACATGTTTTAATAACTTGGAGAACTAACCCGCCCTCTTTACTACTTTCCTCTCTGTTCAGAATTCTTTTGATCATTTCCGTATTTGCCATTGAGAACTCTGCTTATCTAGTTAAAAAAAAAAATCTGTTGCTTTCAGGTGACCTCAAATTTACAGATTAAATTAGAAAGCAGTGATGTACTCACTATAATGAATTTTCTTAGTGTTAAAGTCCTTGCATTTAGATAAGCTTTGAGTTTTTCTTGCTGTTAGAAATAGGAGCTCGGTTTCCATTCCATTTTCCAAGGTTGTCTTTAATGCCAAAGAAATGCCACTGACTCATTGGACTGATTTATAATCAGCCAAGAGATTCTCTTGGTTTTTGATGATTTTTAGGTGCATACATGGGGTTTTCAGGCAAACAACCACAACTGTAAACAGCACCCCACTCTGTGACAGCAGCATCCCCAGGAGCCAGGCAGCCAAGGAATCTGCATTCAGATCCTTCCTGGGCCCCCTGAGGTGTCCTGCCCAGTGTACTGGGTAACTGCGTGAGTACCGTGTGGACCGAGTCTGCTGGAGGAGGCACAGGAGCAGGCACATGCTCTCCGGCTGACGCCGACCCCGCCTGCCCACTCAGCTCCCGTGGCCCAGAGCAGGCCTGCGGCTCCTGCCCCTCGAGGGGGACATGCTGCATTTCTAGACTGTGGGACTCGCAGGAAGCTGGGGTTATAGCACTCATAAAAGTCACACTCTGTATTTCACAGCCACACAGAATTTTATAGGTTGATGACTTCCTCTCTTAAAGGTAGTATGTGAGCAATTTTACAACACAAGGACTGTGAGAAAACACTCTTGTCTAGCCCATCTGCAAGCCCCAGTGCCTAGTTCCCTCCTAAGGGCGATCGCCTTAGGGATGCTTTTATACCCTTTAAAGTCATCCACCGATGGCTGCGTAAACAGAAAGCAGAATACTGGTGCAGTGGAGACCGGTTCCACCAGAAAGGAGTGAGGCACTGATCCCTGCTACAGCCTGGACGACCGGCTAAAACATTACGCTAAAGGAAAAGCAGGTCACAAAGGTCACATGTGGTAAGAGTCCAATTAAGGGCAACAGCAAATGGGATCGGCGAATCCAGAGAAAAAGAAAGTAGGTTAGTGGCTGCTGGGGACTGGGAGGAGAAGGAATGGGGGAATGACTGCTGAGGAGTACAAGGTGGAGCGGGGTGTAAGGGGGCAGTGGAAAGGTGCTGGAATCAGTGACTGTGCAACCTTCTGAACACCCCAAGACCGCTGCAGTTTCAGTAACCGAACTGACAGTATGTGAATTATATCTCGGTTTCGAAAGTTAAAAAGCCAGCCTAGGATTCAAGGTGTTTGTATCCCTACGATGTAGCACTTTGAAGCAACTAAGTTTTCTACCACGATATGAAAGAAACTGTGACCTTGATACAGAAAGGAAGAGTTTAAACATGAAACCCAGGTCAGTTATCGTACAGGAACTTTTAACTTAGATACAGTGGCTGATCAGAAAATACAGTGTGTATTTAAATCAAAACATTATTACCATAAAAGACACATTGCCATGAATCCCCCTCAAAATCCTCCCCCTCGCTACAAACACACTTATGCCATCTTCTGGCCTCTGCCTGCAGCAGCTCTGGACCCCTCTTTCCTGAGTGTCTTTACGAGATGTGAGGCAAAGTACGGTGAAAGCTGCTGCCCAGCGTCGTCCAACAGAAAGTCGGGCTTGTGAAAACAACGCTGTCTTCACCTACCTCACTCACCAGACCATGCACTGTGAGACTCTGCCTCTTTACCAAAGTCAAAATGACCATGGAAGGGAGATGTTTTGAACTGATTCAGGACATCGAGGCAGGCACGACAGCACAACAAAAGACACTCAGGAGAGAGGACTCCAGAGCTGCTGCAGGAAGTGGCCAGGATGATGGGATGCGTGTGTTTGGAGCAAGGGGAAGGATTGTGTGGGGGATTCATGGCAATATGTATTCTACTGTAATGAAATGTGTAAAATTTAAACACGCACCATACTTTTTTTATCGCACCTCTGTAAGACTAACCTCTGGCCCAACGTTTCTCCCTCCGTGCTCTGAAAATCAGGACCATCCCTGGGGCAAAGAATGGGACAGACAAAGTCTTCTGGCCAATTGTCCCATGGGGTCCTGAACGGTGCTCTGCTCTGGAAAGGGTTCAGGCCTGGCCTGGCACTGACAGGGAGGACCCCCTTCCCCGAGGTGACCTGACCTGAAACAGCAACTTCCCAGACGGCGCCCACAGGTGTGTGACCAGAGCTCTGGGTCCAATGTGAGGGGCCTTGTTTGGAAACAGGGTCGCAGCAGATGTGACTCTGAGAGCTCATCCTGGCGCAGGGTGGGCCCTGAATCAGTGACTGCGGTTCTTGTAAGAAGAGGACAAGATACAAGGAGAAGCCTTGTGGGGACAGAGACGGACGCTGGAGTGACACATCTACAGGCCCGGGAACAAGGAGGACTGCAGTGACAAGAGAAGCCAAGGAAAGCACGGGACCAGGTCGAACCCAGAACCTGCTAAGTCTGGATCTCTGCCCTCGGGGGCATGACAGAGGACGCTGCTGTTGTTCTAGCTGCCCAGTCTGTGCCACTTATTTACAGCAGCCACAGGAGACACACGCTTACCCTCCTGTGTCCATGCTGCTATTTATTAATAGCCATGCAGCTCACTTAGAAGAGGAAGGATTAAGAGAGATGTGGGGACCCAGTAGGATGATCCGTACATGAAGAACGCTAAGCAGCGAGTCCCTACCAAATGGCATCGAATCACAGTAACGGCTGGAACTGTGCGGAGCCCAGCCTGAGCCCTGACCACGCACTGGAATAAGAATGCGGGGCCCTGTGTACCCGGCTCAGCTGCTTCCCTTTCGGTCCTGGCCTGTGGCCTTGGGAAGCTGACTTGGACCTTTGGGTTCCTCTCTAGGCCAGAGCCAGATCTCATCTCCCAGAGACGTGGGGTGCAGGAAGCCAGAGGTGTTACCAGGAGCGCTGTGTACATCTAAACAACCCTGACCAAGGACCACGTGCAACTCCGAAGAGCCCTACATCCCCAGGAAGGGCCTGTTGGGGACTCAGGGCGGGGCGCAGGCCCTCCTGTGAGCCACAAGTGGCTGCTCATGAGACTCCCCGTGCCTGCTGCCCTGCCCCATGATGCAGTTGTGCCCCTCCTGGCCAGGGGCCCGGGGTGCTGACACTCCCACAGCAGAGCCCCCACTGTCTGCACACCGTGCTTCCAGCCTGGGCCCTGTAACAGACTCCGGGGAGCAGGGACTGGGCTGTGGCCTCCTCAGTCTTATGACCTTGGCTGGTCCTGCAGAGGAGGGGCTCCAGGGAGCCCTCGACAGACATGAAGGAGCCTGATGCCATCTCCGCATCCTTCGTGGGCTCACTGGATGGGCAGAAATCAAAGGCAGGTGAGACACAAAGCAGACGTAACCGAGTCACAGGCCTGGGTCCCCACAGAGTACAGAACACTGCACCTGTTGTGGTTTCTATCTAGATGCCCCCAAGGGCCTGTGTGCTCCTAGGTGGGGCCTTTGGAAGGTGATGGATTCCAGGACTCCTAGCCACAGGGAGCGGGGCCTGGTGGGAAGAGGCGTCACTGGGCGTGGCCTGGAAGGGCTCCTCTCCCTCCCAGCTCCTCCCTTCTCTCTGCTTCCTGTCCCCCATGCCGAGAGCAGCTCTCCTCTGCCAGACCCCTGTGCCGTGCGTCCTGCTGACTATGGACTGAAATGGGGCCCAAATCAACCTGTCCTTCCTCAAGGTGTGGATGTGGGGTACTGTGTCTCAGTGGTGGGGAAGTGACTGAGACAGCACCCCTGGGTTGAGCTCGGACTTGGTGCACCTCAGCGCCCACCCTTTGCTGCTGGCTGGTAGGAGGTTTCATACTGGCAAGGGGGAGGTTTCTGATAACCAGATCAGATGCTCTCAAGCTCGAAGGTGCTGTTGGAGAGTCTTGGACCTAACTCTTCCCCGTCTGGGCCAGTGGCTTACTGCGCAGTCATGAACTGTGGGATGAGAACATGAGTGTCCATTCAGAGGACTCGGCCAGGGCACGAGGACACGTACAAGATCCTAGCAACAACCACCGTGGAAACCAGTATGGAGAGTCCCCAGACAACTAAAATTAGGAATTGCCTTCTACCTAGCTATTCCCCTTCTGGGTATCTTCCGGAAAAAGTTAGACATTATATTATACACCCATGTTTATAGCAGCACAACTCACAAGTGGTTATCTTGGAAGTGGCGTGTATGTCTATCAACAGACAAATGGATAAAGAAAATGTGGTATTTATACACTACGGAGTACTACTCTGCCATAAAGAAGGATAAATTGAGTTATATGTAGGAACCATAATGTTTAGTGAAATAAATCAGACACACAGCTTACATATTGGATTGGTCCTCTTAAGTGAGAAACCCAAAGTATAAATAATAAAGAGTGAAATAAAAGCTAGATAATAGGAAACAGGGAGACAGATCTTTTGCAAATAGGAAAGGGATCAAGACATGGAGGGAGGGGGAGAGAGAAGAGGAAGAAGAAGATGTATAAAGAATTAGCCAATGTCTACTGGTCTATGTTTGGGATGCCCTAACAATGGAATATAATGAAATGTGTTCTCTTCAAATTCTTATTCCTTGAACTTTTCTGGGTAACATATAAGAATTTCATGCAAAAATTCCAAAACTTTCAGTCTCTGGCACAAATGGGTTAAACTCTGTCACGTGCACGTACCAACTCTGCACGGGAAGGTGAGCATCATGCACTGCAGACGCGTGCTAAAAATATAAAGATGCGAAGGCCCCACAACGGCACGGTGGGGCTGCTCTGAGCCGCTCTCTGATCTGCTCTCCGATCTCTCCAGTTGTTGGCTAGACAGCAGACCCCGAAAGTTCCCAAGGTTTTCAACCGGAAGCTTCCGCGAGGAGGGAGGAAGACTCCTCCTCCGCCGCCGCAGCCGCGCACACCGAGACGCGCCAGCACTCACCGACTTGTGGCTCTTGGCGGTTATGGTCTTCACCTTGTCGGGGTCCCAGATGACCACGTCGGCGTCGGAGCCCACAGCGATCCGCCCTTTCCTCGGGTACAGGTTGAAGATCTTGGCTGCGTTGGTGCTGGTCACGGCCACGAACTGGTTCTCGTCCATTTTGCCCGTGCCCTGAAGGCAAGAGGCGCGGGTGAGCCAGCACCCCGGGGGGTGGAGAAGGGGGCGGCCCAAGTCTGGCCCCGCAGCGGGCTTCCCGCAGGGCGTGTGGCGCCCCCTCCTCCCCGGCTGGGGCACCGCTGCCTCCCCACGGGCCTGGGGACATCTGCCCCCAGGCCACGCTGATGCCTGGTCAGTGCCAGTGAGCCCGAGTGTCACAGTGAGCGGGAACGAGCACGAACTCTCTCCACTTGGAGCCACACCGACGCCAACATGCATGCGCACGCACACACGTACACGCACGCAAGCACGCATTACGTAGCGTGGTCTCTACAGGAACTGCAGCGTGGCTCTCCGCAAATCCTTCTCATCCTCCAAGAGCAAGGACAATGTGGCGCCTGCGAGTGCCGCGGGACCCGCACCGTCCCCTCCCAGGACCGAGAGCTGTGGGGACCCAGGCCAGGGCGCGAGGCGAGGCGGGACCTTACCACCGCCTTGTCCCACACCACGGTCATCCGCTCCTCTATGCCGTTGACGCCCTCGGGGATCAGGGTGAAGTTGTCCTTGCCCACAGCCTTCTGGGCAGTGCTGTAGGGACAGTGGCCGCTGCCTGTCACCTGCAGGTCCCCACTGGGGACAAAAGACACGGTTCAGCCCTGAGCTCACGTGGAAGGGCAAGTCCCGCTCTCGGTCATCTGGAGCAGGCTGTGCAAGTGCAACCCTAACCCGAGGAGGCTTTGGGGGGATGGTGGGTGCGGAATAGTGGTGTTTTACTTTTGGGTTTTTATTTAATTTAATTTTTTCTTCGTTTTCTTTTTATTCCCCCAGTACTGAGGTTTGAATCCAAGGCCTTGGCACCGAACTACATACCTAAACGTTTTTTAATTTATTTTTTATTTTTATTTTCAGATAGGGTCTCACTGAGTTGCTAAATTACCCAGGATAGGCTCAGACTTGCGATCCTCCTACCTCACCTCCCAGAATGCTGGGATTGCCGGCCTGGACCAGCACACCTGGCTTATCTCAATTTTTTAAAAAGGAAAAAGCTTTGGCCAATATATCAATGAACAGGCAAACAAACCCGTCAGGCAGGCAGTGAGACCAAGCCCTATGCCACACACCTGTGTATCTCAGGAGCCGGGGCCACCAGTTTATACCCCGGCCTCGTGTCCCTTGTCACAGGGTCTCAATGCTGATGTCTGCTTCCTAACCTGGGGCTTCCAGCTGATGGCACCTGGAGTTTTCCTGCTGGGCTCCCAGAACAAAGCGCTGTCAAGAGGTGACAGTAAAGTGACACCAGTTCCCAGGTTTGCCTTTTGTCCCTCGGCACCTTCAGGAGGGGGCAGACACAGCCCGCAGCTTTGTGACAAGCGCAGCGCCCCGAACATACCCCCGTCACTGGAGTGTTGGTGACACGCCAGAAAACCACATGCTGTGCACACTTCCTGTGTGCTGCTACCACGTAAGGCAGCGGGATGCGGCTCAGAAGGGAGAAACGAGGGCCGAACTCCGGAGCGGGCAGAAAGAGGGCTGGGGGCTCAGGTGATGAACAGAGGTGAGTGGATGGTGCCACTTGGCGAGAACAAGTGCTAGGGATGGGTCAGGGGGCCCTGGGCCGGCTGGGAGCGCTAGGCCGGCTGTTCTAGACGTGGTGGGCAGCAAACACCCCACCAAGTGGAATCCTCTCAGCAAAGCTCAGCAGGCAGCCAGGGATAACCCATGTGACTCTGGGAGAGTGCAGGGGGAAGGGCAGTAGTGAGTGCAAAGGCCCTGGGGTTTAGAGTCAGCAGGGGGCAGTGGGGACAGCCAGGGAGGAAAAGGGGCCCAGGCAAGGGAGCTGAACACACAACAATAGTGGAGGGTGAGGACCGCATCACACCTGCCTGGCAGGCTTCACCGTGACGAAAGTCGCTGGGGGTGTCCTCGTACAGGGTGGCTTGGTCTGCTCCACATCTGAGCCCGTGTGGGAGCCGCGGGGTGCACAGGGATACAGAATTGGGGGCAGACATGCCAGCAGCAGGAGCCAGAGCAGCTCAGGAGAGCGGTCCCATAGCAGGCCAGGACACTGAGCCCCCACCAGGCCTCAGCAGCAGACGCCCCGTGGACCCGAAGGTGAGGAGCCAACGTTTCTGCCCATTCCAGCTGGGGACACACCCGGCTCCCCGCCCTGCCCTATCCTCCCCTGGCCCACCTCCCCCAGGAAGCCTTGCACACCCTCCTGCCTCTGCCTCACCTGTGGCCTCGCTGCTGCCAGCAGTGTCTTCGCGGGCTCACAGGAGGCACAAGGCGGAAGTGGCTGCTCTCCTACTAGGAGCTCACACTACAGGGACTCGGTAAGCAATGGTGACCTCTTCTTGAATCCTGTACCACAGGGCTTCTTTTGTTTGTTTGTTTTGTTTTACAGCACCAGGCACTGACCCCAGGGCCTTTGCACTGAGCTACATCCCTGTTCCCTTTTTCATTTTTTATGTTGAGACAGGGTCTTAAATTACTAAGTTGCCCAGGCTGAGCTTGAATTTGCGATCCTCCTGCCTCAGCCTCAGCATGGAGTGCAGACCTGGCAGAACCGGAGCCCCATGCCCCTTCCCTGTGTCTAACGCAGCCGTCCACACCACACTTCCCCAGCCTCGCATCCCCCTGCTCTCACCAGGCCAGCAGCGAGGTCAAGTAGTCAGGCGTGGTGGGGTCCGGGCTCAGGGGAGGGGATGTCACGAACGCCGCCGCTTTGGCCCAGTTCTTGCTCCAGTAGTGGGTGCCATCTGTGCCCAAGCTGGCAGCAATGGGCTCGCCAAAAACGAGGGGCCCTGGGGAGGATGGACACAAACAAGCAGGTCCCACACACAGCGACGGGGAGATGTCACAGGCACAGAAGCAGAGGCGTGGAGGCCGAGGCATCCTTCAGGGCAGCACCGCGACCTTGGCAGTGAGCACCTGGCTCCACAAGTCCCCAGCACAGCAGCCAAGCCGCTGGGAACCCTGACGACACAGTGACGCTCGGAGCATTTGCACCTTATTACCACTGCCTCTGTTCACAGATTTGCACAGCGAGCCACAGAGGTGCGCTGCTGTCCCAGCTTCTCCTGCACCAGCCGATAGCAGCCCCAGGGCTCCCCGCACGGACAAACGCCACACACCTGTGGCCTGCAGCCCTATGCAGTTTCCAGGCCCCTGCTGCGCTGCCAGAGTGGCCGGACGTGGGCTTCAGCAGCCCAGCTCTGCCTGCGAACCATTGCCACCAAGAAACTTAACTTTCCAGTTGTGTTAAATGAGTTAAATAAAAGTCAACCCATGGGGTAGTGGCCACGGCGTTGCCCGGAAGAACCTGCATCCTTAACCCCCACCCCCACCCCCCTAGCTGCTGCCTCCAGATTTCTGTAACAGCTCTGAGCCTCAGTTTCCCTATCTTTAAAGTGGAGCAAATTCCAGGCAAGCTGTGCTAGTCTGGCCCTCACCCATCAGCTTGCTGCTAAGAACCCTACCAAGGTATTGGGGCTCCAAGCTGCTCTGCCAGTCAGGCAGCTGCCAGACACAGGAGGCCATCGAGGGCCTGAGTAGTGGCCGCCTGGTCTGGACTGAGATGCGTCCTGAGCATGGAACACCCTGGGCTGGGCAGGCTGCACAGAGTACCAGATAGGGTGTCATTAAAGATCCCTTATGCTGAGTGCCTGTTGTACTGTTTCAGTACTTTATGGATTAGCGTTTATCCCGAGAGGAGAGGCTGGGTTCTCAGAGGCAGGAGCAGGTCTCGCGGGACTTGACTGGTCACCACGAGAGCGTGTCAGGCTTCCGTCTCACCATGTGAGTGCTTGTGACACCACCTGCCATGTTAGGACACAGCCCTGAGGCCCTCAACAGAGGCCAGCAAGATGAGGACACCTCATCTTAGGCTTTCGGCCTCCAAACTGTGAGCTCAGTGAGCCTCTGTTCTTCGTAAAGTACTTGCCTCGGGTGTTGTTACAGCAACAGAAAACGGACGCATACAGCAGCCTTCTTCACTCTGGGTCTGGGGCTGGCTGGGCCCAGCAGACCTCACTGCCAAAGGCCCCAGGCCACACTGGGCCCCTCTGAGTCTCCTGCTGAGAACCCTGAGCCCAGAGAGGGCCCATGGAGCAAGCACCCCAGCTGCACGGGCTGTGACCTGCACCCCACAGTCTTCTGTTCCCAGGAGGAGAGCGCTCCAACCTCAACGGGGGATGAGGAAGCAGAGACAGGACGTGAACAGTGACCAAGAGGTGACGAAGACACTAAGCAGCACCCACTGGATGCTCAGGATGTGGCACGGGCATGGAAAGGGCTCCACATCCATTGGCTGGAGGAGTCCACTTCAGAGGGGACAGAGGTCAAAGAAGGAAAGGGTGGCACTGTCTGAGTGCCACTGCCGGGCAGCTGGCGTCCTGGGCCAGCACCACCATGTCCAGTTCACGCTGTCCCTGGACCTCCACCTCTGGGGAAACATCGTCCTCTTTCCCAGCGCATGGTCCCAGGCACCCATGACCAGGGCCCAGGACAGCAGGCCAGGGTGAGGTGCCCAGGGGTGGACTAAGAGGAGGGCAGGCAGGACCCAAGGCCCACAGGCCAGTCCAGCTCACTACAGAGGGGCTTCAGAGCTGGCGGAGCTCCAGGCACAGAGTTTCATGTGGCCCCACCAGGCCCGGGACCATCACCCCAGCCACACACAAGGAAGCTGAGCCTCAGAACAGGCCAAGGACTTGCGCAAGGCCACATGGCTGGCACATGGACACACCAGGAATCAAGCCTAAAACCCACACTGTGCTGCCCCCACCTCACACCATCCTCCCTTCAGAGTGGCCTTGGAAAGAAACTTGAACCGCTGGACACCCCGCACCTTGAGACTGTGACAATTAAGCTTAACTGTCAAACGTGATTGGCTTGGGGACCACCTGTGGATTAGTAAAGCACTCTACTTGGTGTGTCTGGGTGGTCATGGCCTCGGGGTCTGTGTCTGGTGCCTCACCTCTTCCTCTCTGGCTCTGCTACCTGGCTCCCTTGCACCCTTCCAACATGATAGTCCTGCCTTGGAGCAGCTGACCATGAACTGAATCCCCTGAAACCACAAGCCAAATAAATCTCCCCTCCTTTAAACTGTGCCTGTCGGGTATTGTGTCCCAGAAACAGGACAGCGGACAGACTCAGGGACCTGCTGCCCCTCAGGAGACCAGGGTCAGTGCATACCCTTCTTCCTGGCCAGTGTGATGATGTCCGCTGCGCTCTTGCTCATGACCTTGGTGATGTACACGGGGCAGTTGATCCGACCCGCAATGGTGATGGCCCGGAACACGGCCTCGGCTTCCAGCTGGGGACACAGCAAGAACAAGGGTCACAGAAGGCTGGGGGGACAGTCACCACCCACCCCAAATTCCCAGGGCTTTCCCCCAGTCAGGTCTTTGGATGTTCCTTGATTGCATGTGATCAGAAGGGAAACCGACCACATCAACAGAGGGTTATGTTGTAAATTGAAAAAAGAAAGAAGTCAAGGTGAGTTTGGTTAGAGGGCTGGGAGACAGGATTATGCCATTAGGCTTGTTTGGAGGTTTTCTCCCCACCCCAGGGGAGAAACATGGGCAGAATATGACATCAAAGGCACAGATAGGGTCCGTGGCGTGTTGCTGCCAGGCACAGGTCCCCCCATCCTCTGGTAAGTGGTCCTCTGCTCACTCACAGTTCCACCTCCAGTCCCTCTAGGGCAGCTGTGTTCAGGGGACCAGGTAACAAAAGGACCAGATGTGTCTCGGTTTGTTGTGCTCCGTTTAGGGTTACTGGAGATTGCATGCAGGACCTTCAGACTGAGCTACGACACCAGTCATTCACTTACTGGCTTTTTAAAAATTTCAGACGGGGTCTAAATAACTGAGTGGCCCAGGCTGGGCTCAAACCTGAGATCTTCCTGCCTCCGCCTCCCAGAGTGCTGGGGTTACAGGGTTTACCAGCATGTCTGGCAATGTTTGGCTTTTGTTTTCAATTTCCAATCTGCTGTGGCCCTGTATGTTATTTGGAAAACCTGCTCTCTGGGATGAAACCATTAGTCCCATGCCCTGGTGTGACAGCAACACCCACGGGCTCTAAGAGCTGACAATCGCTATTCCCCACTCCGCCCCAATCTGTCCATGGCCCAGGATCAAGCAGCTCCAGCATACCCGGGGCCCGGCATAGCCCACGAGCTCGCTCATGATTGGATGAGGACAAGGAAAAATCCTCCACTCGGGGTGGCTGCTCGGGCAGCACCCAGCATGGCGCAGTTCTGTGCCAGGTCTGCTGCCTTCCGTCCCCTCTCTTGCACACGTGCACACACTCACGCTCACACACACTGTCGCCCCGGGGGAATGAATCCATTTTTCAACTCCGGAACACTGGCAGGCAGGGGTGCTCACTTCCGGGACCCCAGACTGGGGGACAGTCGCTCTGTTTTCCTGTCATCCAACACAACATCCGGCACAGGCTTCGTCCAGTTTGGACACTGGGGGGTGCACAGGGTCTCAGTGCGAAGCCTCCAGACCCGGGCACAGGCAGAACCTCTTGCCAGCCTCCCTGACTGACCAGTTGCCCCCAGACCCCAGGGAAGGAGCAGAGGGAAGGGTAGGAAGCCGGGCACAGGGTGCGCTGCTCCGGCTGGAAGGGCATTGGGGCGAGCTCCATGGGGTCAGAGGCGCCCAGCCGGGGAGTCTTTACCTCCTCAGGTCTGCTTAGAGCGTGGCCCTCGGGACCTGTGATGCCCATCTCCAGGATCCGCTTTTGTTCCTAGGAGACAGTGACACAGAGTGGGGTTACAGAAGGGCAGAGCCAGGAGTTGCTCCCCCAACCCCAGCTTGGGGAGAAGGGGCGGCTGAGGCTGGGCAGGGGCTGTGGGAGGCCTAATAGTGGAGCACAGTGTGAGCCAGGTCCTTGTCTACATCACCCTGCTGTCCACACCCGCCCTGCTTTATCTCCATCTCCCAAGAGCGGTGGGAGGAAGCAGTAAACTACAGCTGGATTCGGTTTGTCCACCAAATCTCTGTGGAGGCTGAGTCACCAGCCTAACAGTGTTGAGAGGCCCTGAGAGAGGGCCACATGAATCCTTTTCTTGCTTCAGTGAGTGTTCACTCAGCAGGGGTCAACTCTTGCAGGACTGGTTGTCAAGCCAGCTCAGCACTTCCCCTGGACCCTTGCACACTCGCTTTTGCTCCACCTGCTCCCCTCTCCCACCATGCAGGAAGCAGCGTGCAGCCCTCCAGAACCAGGACCCCAAAACAAACTTCCTTTATTTATACCCAGCCTCAGGTATTTTGTTACAGCAACAGAAAACAGACTGAAACAGAAGGCTGGCACCAAGAAGCAGAGTTGGGCTGTAAGGATGTCTGACAATGTGGATGTGGCTTTGGAACTGGTGATGGGTGGAAACAGGAGAGCATAGAGGAGCAGGCTGGAGGCTGGGATGCCTCCAACACACAACAGCTGATTCCAGTGAGAGCTCAGGTTGAGAAGGCTGGGGAAGCAGAAGTCCTCAGACTGGCTGGGCGTTGGTGACCAGCATGCTGTGGGGATGCAGGGAGGAAAGGCCTCTTTGTGAGATCTCAGGTGGCAACGAGGACCTCTCACTAGCAGACAGCTTTGAAGTCAAAAAGACCTTGGCTGGACTTCGGTCGGCCCTCAGATTTCACAGAAGACAGATTTTAAAGGGTGAACTAGAATTTCCGGCTAAAAGCAAAAGGCGGAATGAACTGAGTGGTTACTTCTCAGTGCTTCTGCTGAGATTAAGGAAAAGGGAATTGCTTAGCGACGGAATTTATCATTTGAAAAGGAAAAAGAGCATGAAAATGTGGAGGTGTGGCCAGATCACATGCAGAACAAGCAAGCACAGTGGGCAGAGGATTCCTGCACTATGGCCCAGAGGTGGGATCCTAAAAAGACCGGACCCAGTAACACAGAGCCAGGTGCTGCACCCAGACCTCGGAGAAAAGGTCTCAGCCCATCAGAGATCTCTGGGCCCCCGCGGGAATGGGTGCTGAGGGCAGGAAGGGGTCCCTTCCGGTCACACCAGGTCTCAGCTCCATGTACCCAGCCCTGGCTCCCACAGACCCACTCGAGCTCAGGCCACAGCCCCACAGGTGATAAGACCTGGCAGGGTCCATGGGGGCCAATTCCACAGGTGCTCAGAATACAAGAGTTACAGCAGCTCAGTGGCTTCCACCCAGATTTCAAAAGTCGTCTGTCATAGTTTGTGTCTAGATGTCCCCCCAAAGCCTCATGTACTCATAGGCTTTTTCAGAGGCGGCTGAATCTAGAGTGTGTGATGCCGCAGTTGAGGGTGTGTGATCACTAAACCAGTCCACTGATTAGTTTGGCACCGCCCTAATCCCGGTAGCCTGGATAAAATAAAAGGGGCAGAAAGACTAAGGTTCCCTTGTTGCTTTTGCTGTCTTCTGCTGCCATGAACTGTTGCCCCTCTGCCGCTCTGCCATGGAGCCAGCCGACTATGGACTGAACCGCTATGAACTGTGAGCCACATAAACCTTTCCTTCACTGGAACCCCAGTTCTGCAGCGCCAGTGGCCTGTGTGGCACCTGCCTGGGAAAGCAAGGCCAGCTGACTCTGATCCCAGGCAGCAGCCACAAGGACTGAACCCAGCAAAGCCATGGGTTGGTACAGCTGCGACCTGGGCCCCAGCTCTGCCCTGGGGTGTCCAAGAGGTGACACACGGAGTCCAGCATTATGAGTTAACACCTACCCTGCTGGGCTTCGAGCTTGCTTTAGACAGTTGCCCCTTCTGTGTGCAACTGCTGATATTAAGGATGGAGCCCAGGGCCTTTACATGGAGTTATATCCTTCAGCCCTTTTTTATTTTTTATTTTGAGACAGGGTCTTGCTAAATCACTAAAGCTGGGCTCAAACTTGCAATCCTCCTGCCTCAGCGTCCCAGAGCGCAGGGATTACAGGAAGTGCACCACCACGTCTAGCCTCTCTTCCAGTTTTCTGCCATGCCTGCAGTCTGAGGCCCTCACCAGAAGCTGAATAGACACCAGCACCATGCTCCTGGACCTCCAGAACCGTGAGCCAAAATAAACCCTTTTCTTTCTAAATAACTCAGACTCGAGTATCTGTTATAGCAACAGAAAAACAATGCAGACACAGGGTTCTAGGAAATGAGCTTTAAAACCCACCAACTGCCCTTCCAACCTCCGAGACTCTTGCAGGGCTCTCCTTTGGGAAGAAACATGGCCTTGGGGTATCACATGGACATTGGGTCACATGACTCCAGCTCCAGACCCGCCCATCTCTGTGACCCCAGGCAAGTGGGCAGGCTCTCCAGGCCTCAGCTTCTCTTCTGTGCACTGGGGCCGGTGTTTGTATCAGCAGGTGGCCTGGCCGGGTTGAGTATCTAGACAGCCTTGTAAACACCTAGCTTGCTACCTGGGGGCGGGGTGAGCCTGCCCTGGGCTGGGTCGGCAACTCCCCACGTGCTCCTCCCCTTCATCAGTCTTCCCAGCAGGAAGCCGCTACTTAGATTTATGCTGTGACCCTGGAATGGTTCCCTGGGCTGCTGGCCCAGATTCAAACCCTCACTTGCAAGGCTTCCTCCTAGCCCCAGGAACACTTCAATCTCTTCTTTCTCTCTTTAATACATCACCCCGATGCCAGCTGTGCCGCTGCTCATTTTAACTCCCCCTATTTCTGCTTCACCCCCACTTCTCAGACACATCTGTACCAGGAGCTCCAGCCCCATCAGCCACAAAAACATCACAATTCCATCGACAGCTATGAAGCGTGAGTTTATTATAAGAACATAAACTAGAGAAGGCAAGGTCTAACAGCTGGGGCAGATTTAAGTAAACTATGGCATAATTTCAGATACTGAAGATGGTTTTTGCAAAAGCGTCTTTGGATACTGTTTACAAGATTTTATGGTGCGGAGAAGTCTGCTGAATGGGTTATGTGCGGCTTTCTATTTCTGCAAGGAAGGAAGGAAGGGGAGAAAGTGAGGGAGGAAACAGATGACATGATGGGGAGACAGCAAGTGTCCTTGCAGCAGAAAACTCGGCAATCTGTCTTCGAGGCTGCCTGGGGGCAGAACTCCTGGCTCGTGAACAAGAGTCAGCCAAGGCCCCTCCCAGCACACTGCTGAGGGTACGGCACTGTCTGATTCCTTCCTGCTGTTTATATGAAAAGGCTGGAGGGCAGAGGTGAGTCCAGGGAAGGTCTGTTAGACAAAAAGCAACCAGGACCGGATGGCTTTGGAAATTCCCAGCCTCTCCAAAGAGCAAAGGAAAAGGATTCTGAGCTCACCTCAAATCTGGGACACTGGCAGGTAACAGCGGTCCTGTCTTGTGATAAGAAGCCAAGGGTGCGGCCTGCGCACTTTTGAAAGGACTCAGAGACACAGGGCGCTGCTGCCTTTTACATTCTGCCATAAAAGACCCTTTAAAGGCACCAACAGGACCACAGGGCTCCCGGGAGTTCCAGGTATGCTCCTCAGCTCTCTGCCCAGGCAGAGCCAGGCTCATCTGGAAGAAATCTGCGGGTGTCTTTCCCCTAATGGAGGGGAGCCCCGATGAGGTTCACAGGAGGCTCACGAAGTAAGTGAGAGAATTACTTCAGCAACACACAGGCAGCTTGGGCTGCATGAGCCAAAGGCAAAGTGAAAGGAGGCCATCAGACCCCCCAAATCCTACCAGGCAGGAAGCCGGTGGAGAATGCTACTAGCTGCAGAAGCATGCTTTCTTTCCCCAAAACAACGCAGGACTCAGAGGACAGAGCCAGGAAGATGGGCCAAGAGCACCAGAGGATTACACAACCTGTGTCTCTCCCCAGCGGCCCCATGGCCACCCTGACCTCCTCCTGCAGATGGAGCTTCTCCCGCCTACCATGCCTGCCTCTCCCACCTCCCCTCTCTGGCTGCTCTTCCTGCCCTGGGAGAACAGAGAATTGCCCAGCCACTCCCTGGCTAACTCTGTTCTTTCCTCACCCAGGGAGACTGGCTTGTTTCCTCCTGTCCCACCCACAACTTCCGAAGCCTTTGGGTGTCAGGATGAGTGGGACCTGCAGTCACTGGCCCCAACACCAGCTCCGGGGTGGGTGTTTCTGCAGGACAAGCGCTGTTTGGGCTGAAGTCCCCAGGCCCCGGCCACAGGTACAGGGAGCCGAACCTACGCTCTGCTCATCTCCAGGACAATGCAACTTCCGGGTGCCCAGATCCGGGTCTGGCCCTCACCACCCCCGCCCGGTCCTCCTTAACCAAGCCCACGATGCCCTTTTCTGGGCCCATCCGGGCAGACGGAGGAGTGGGCGTCCCCACCACTCACCTGAGCGATCAAGTCTCCGTTCTCCGCGTGCACCAAGATCACAGCTCCCAACCCCTTCAGGAAGGTGAAGGCTTCGTACAGCTGAGGAGGGAGAGGGCAGGGGTGAGATCGGAGCCACGGCGGGCACACACATCAGCAGGGACTGCTCCTGTCCCTGCCTCAGTCACCGCCAGCCTCCACTCACCCAGCAAGGCTGCTCCCACAAGGACGCTGCCTGCCCAACCTCCAGCCCCAGGGAAAGGAGCCTCAGCCAGCGCCTTCCAGGCCTTCTGGGACCCTGACGTGCACAGGGTTATGACATCTGGGACCCAAGTCATCGCAGACCTCTGTGGCTGCAAGAACACGCTCCCGGGACCCTGGCACTCAGGCAGCACACGCCACACTGGGCCTGTGTCCCCTGCCCATGGTGGCCACCCGGTGCCCAGCACCTCCTGCCACCCAAGAGGGAGCTGCAGTCACTCATTCACCCTGGTGAGGACCAAAGCCCTGAGCTCCTCCTCCTCCAAGGGCCCCTGCATGTGTATCAACAGCCCTGGGACACCCCTCTGGCCCCAAGGCAATGCCCTAACACCTGGTGGCACCAGCGGTGGCCCAGGCTCAGCCCCTGCTTTCAGTTCTTTGCAGAGCTCCACAAGACAAATGTTGTTATGAGCCTAAAGGCCCAGAGAGGTTGGGAAAGCAGCTCCAGGCTGCACAGCAAGCAGCAGGCATGGCGGGGGCTTGCAGCCCACCAGGCCAGTGGGAGCATCTGTGGCTCCCTGTCCCACTAACAAGCAGACAGGAGTGATGAGGGAGCCAAGCAAGAGACCCAGCGGTGGGAGAAGGCCAGGTGCCCGGTAAACGTCAAGCCCTGGAGAACAGCTCCTAGCCTCGTCCTCCCGGCTCCCTACACCCCCATCACAACTGCTGGAAGCTGGTGGGGCAGAGATTTTACGACTCCTTTGGGTGGGAAACTGAAAAAGGAAGGGACTTGCCAGAAGTCTCGCTCACTCCTCTGCTACAATAGAGCCATGGCCCACAGCTTGGTCCGAACCCCAGAATCTACAGCGAAGCTCAGCCTCAAGCCCACACTTGAGCATCTGCCATTCTCCAGGAGCTGTGTGCCAGGGACCTCCATGGGGAACACCGAGGCGTCCCCAAGGTGGGGGCCATTGTGCCAGGAGGGGTGGGCCCCAGGGATCTCCCCACTGGTCCCCGGGGCCCCCTGCCCTGCTCATCAGCCCTGCCGGGTGGCGAGGAGACACAGGGCCACCTACCTGGCTGTCCGACATTTGGTAGAGGTCCTTATAGGCCATGTAGACTAGGAAGGAATTGACACCTGTGGGAGATTGAAAGGGGAAGAGAGACCCGTGTTGAAGAAGAACTGAGACACGTCATTTCCATAAGTCATGGGCAATGAACACCCACCAATCGTGCTCCCTGTTCCAGGCACGCGCTCCCTCTGGGGTGCAGGTGGAGAAGAGCACTGTGGGGAACCCACCACAGCCCCCATATCTGCAGCTCTGCCTGGGGCCAGGTCCAGACCCAGACACACACTGGTGACCAGAGAAGCAAAGCCCGGCCCCAGCTCATGGTCCTTGGGCCAGCAGCTTTGGGAAACCAAGGCATCTTAGTATCAGAAACCCATGGAGGGGGTGCCAGGGGGCTGTGGGTGGGCAACAGGGAAGGCTTCCTTGTGCCTTTTTATGGAAATCAGTGTGGGTTACCCCCAAATTAAATATAAATAGAGCCACATAGGATCTATCCTCCTGGGTGTATATCCAAAGGAAGTGAGATCGGTCTGTCAAAGAGACCTCTGCACTTCATGTTCATTGCAGCACTGTTCAATACAACCAAGAAGTGGATTCAACCTAAGTGTCCACTCACAGATGACTGGATAAAGAAAATGTGTTATAGCAAGGGATTTAGCTCAGTGGTTCTGCCACCTGCCCCCCAAGTGCAAGGACCTGAGTTCAATCCCTGGTACCAAAAAAAAAAAAGAAGATATCTTTCCATTTTCACCTGCTGCACAAGCACAAAGACTCAAGTTCGATCCCCAGTACCAAAAAAAGAAAATGTGATATATACACCTGATGGAATACTATGCAGCCACAAACAAGGAGATCCTGTCATTTGGAACCACATGGACGAACCTGGAGGACATCAGGCTAAGTAAAGTAAACTAGGCACAGACAAATGGCACATGAGCTCACTGATAGTGGGGATCTAAAACAACTGAGCTTATAGCGGCAGAGAGTAGAATGGTGGTTATCAGGGGCTGGTGGGGGAGGAGATAGAAAGATCCTGAGCAAAGAACATAGATTTTCAGCTCGACAGGAGGAATAAATTCTGGAGATCTGGTGCAGAGCACGGTGACTACAGTTAATAATGTCTGATATACTTGGAAACTGCCCAGACCACAGGTCTTCAATGTCTTCCTCACAAAAACACTAAGAAGGTGAGGTAGCAGGAAAGCAGCTGGGAAAGGCAGTTCTCTCCCCAGCTCCTATTGTCTGGACACTTCAGGAAGGAGCACAGCCCCGTCAGCGCCTTGCTTCTAGCCCTGGAAGACCCCTATTCCATGTCTGACCTCCAAAACCATAAGGTCATAAATGTGTTATGTGGGGGGTTTTGTTATAGCAGCAAATGAGGACCGATCCTGAACTGACTTCTTGTGGGCCCAGCTCTGCCCCAGCATTTCCTTTCCTCACAGCCCTGACAAGACATGTACACATGTGTGTGCTGACATGCAGGGACAGTGCAAGGAACCGCTGGTGACAGGGAGGCTTAGCTAGCAGCCAGTGCTGCTCCAAGCACTGGACACGCATCTACCTGTCTGACCTCAAGATATCCTCTGGCTGGCTCCTCACCCCCTGGACAAACAGGCACAGAGAGGCCAAGCGTCGGGCAGGATGGGGGGGTCGGCTACTAAATGGAGGGGCTGGGGTGTCCCTGAGGTGTTACTTCATAGACACAGGGCAGAATACGAGGCGCACTAGGGTTCCAGTGATGGGAAGGCCACACAAACCCGAGTGCCACACGTAGACAAGGAATATGTGCATATACTCAGCACTTTTGCATATAATATTCAGTGGTCTAAAAAGATGCTGGATGTTTAAATTTTAAAATTTATCACAGTAACAGGCATCTTGCCATGAATGTCCCTGAAAATACTCCCCATCATGTTGAACACTCATCCTATGGTCCTTGCCACCTTCTGCAGCAGCCCCGGGATCCTCTTTCCTGAGTCTTTAGTTGGCTGTTGTGGCTGCCTCAGTGACTTGACTAGATTCAAAACATTTCCCTTTCATGATCATTTTGACCTGAGGGAAGAGCCAGGAGTCACACGGTGCCAAATCCGGTGAATGAGGCGGATGAGGACACAGCATCATGTTTTCACAAGCCTGCCTTTCCACTGAATGGCACTGGGCAGGAGCAGACCCTGGATTCTGAAGCAAGAGGAAGATTTGGCGGGGAGACTAATGGCCGTGTGACTTTTTCTGTAATCATTTTTAAAAATTTAAACATTTGCTGTATATTTTGATCACACCTCTTATATAAATAAAAAAACTAGAAAGTCAAATCCAAATTATCACTTTTTAGTGCAAACACCTCTTTATCTCTTCGATGAGCATGTAAGGGCTCCGAAACTTGTCAGCACAGGCAGCCGCGATGGAGCCAGATGTGTAAACCCCACACCGGCACCCGACAGGCCCCCAGCCACAGCAAGAAATCAGCTCAGGGCAATGCCATGAATACTGAGACCCCGACAAGCATCCCCTGCCCAGCACAGCCTGGTGGCCCCTCTGCTCTGACAGTGACTAGGCCTGGTGTGCTCTCTTTTGCCATCTCCATGTCCCCTGTCGCTCCTGTCCTCGTGGGTCCTCAGGCTGCTAAACTAACAAGCTGCAGTGCACAGGGTTAGATGGAGATGGCTCGGGACAGAAGGCCAGGTAGGGAAGGGCAAGCTGTGAAACCACGAGTCCCCTGAAGGATGGCTCTGTGAGGTCGCAGAGGGATTCAGGGGCCAAGGAGGAGGGACAAGGCTTCTAGACAGACGTACAGTAAGCCTGACAGGTGGGCAGAGGAGGCCCTCGGATGTTCACAGGAGGAGAAATACATGGAATGTCTGTGTGGTCAGTAATGAAAGAGCCACAGTGACAAGGACAACTGACAGGTGGAATTTGCCTGTGGCATCAGCAAGGACACACACAGGGCCAGGGATGCTGACTGGCCACACGCTGAGCAGGGGCGCACTTCCAGGAAACTGATTTCACCATCAATGTCGTGACCCTGGGGAACTCTAAAACCTTTGACTTCAAAATTTCATTTCTAGAAATCTAAGAAAGTAATTAGAATACAAACAGATGCTTATGTATGAAGGTGTTCATCATAACACGATTTATGCTAAAACAAATCGAAACCCTAAGCGTCCAACAAAAAGACAACAGCTAAGCAAATTTGCCATTATATTTTATGCTATGAGCTATTAAAAAGTTACTGATGAAGAGTAATGTTATGCAAACAGTGAGTGAAAAAAGAAAGATTCCAAGGAATCGCTATCATCCAACTACATAAGGCAAAAAATCCACCAATTGAGATGGGAATGAAGGCAATACTCTGTTACATCCCAGAAAACTGGGCCTGGAGCTTGAACCGGAGCAAAGATGTTATCCTTCCTTGATTTTCTGACTCTCTGTGTATTAGAAATGGTGACATATTTATCATGAAAAAACCCAGCATATGTATTTCCAAAATCCAAAGCACAGCCCAGCTGTGGTGGTACACACCCAGAATCCCAGCACTTGGGGAGCCTGAGTCAGGAGAATCATTCGGGTGAGATCTTCCTGGGCAACCTAATGACTTGGCAAGGCCCTCTCTCGAATACAAGGAAAATAAAATGAAAAGAGCTGGCCCACAGCTCAGTGTCATGCCCTAGATTCAGTTCCCCATACAGGAAAAACAAATGAGCACCCAGCCTGGCTCTCCTCAAATCCCTCCCCGGGCGCCTCCTCAGAGAGGGGGCTGCCCCGCTGGTCGGGCCACCCTCAGCCCGACTCCTGTCCTGCCCACCTGAGCCCCTCTCCTGGCAACACAAGGCATCTGCATGGGGCAGGGTCCCCGGTGTGAGGCTGCTCAGCAGACAGCCAGGGGGACACAGGTGTGCGGGCATATACATCCCTCCCAGGGTGCAGGGTTCAAAGGAAGAGCCAGACAGACAACAATGTCCCATAATCCAAGAGAGTGACAAAGGTGTCCCCAAAGAGGGCCGGGGACTGGCTCCAGACACCAAAGGAAGACAGTGATGTTGAGGGGATGTGGGGAGGGGTCACAGAGCTGGGTCCTGAAGGTGAGCAGCACCTGAAAGGCAGAGAGAAAGGATGCTCCTGGCAGGGGCACACCTTGACAAAGGGCCGGCAGGTCACAGGTGGCTGGGGTGGCAGCCAGGACGGTGAGTACCCAGGACGGGTTATGGTAGAGAAAGAAAAGTGAGGTCAGGCCAGCGAAGGCCTTGAACGCCAGGCTATGGACACTCAGGAGGAAGAGGACAGATGTCCTAAGAGGGCTGCCTATCTTCTCACTGTGCGGCAGTGTGTGGCTCCTCACAAAGGGATTTTCCCACCTCTGAGCCTCTGGGTCCACCAGGAACTGAGGACCCCAGAGCCCCCTCTGCAGCTGCTACTGACCTTTGTCCTGCACCAGCACCTCCAGCTCTTCCCGGATCCCATCGTACCAGCTGGTGAGGTCCACGTGGAGGGAGTAGTCACAGCAGGATTTGGTGTCAGCTGCTTCGTGCCACTTCTCAAAGGAGGTGAGCAAGCTGGAGCCAGGTTCAGGAACCACATGGTCGACTGAGAAAGAAACCTGTGTTACGATTCTTCCGAATGACCCACACTGTGCCACCACTCTCTCCACTGATATCCGCACCACCACTGCCATCACCACCACCAGTATCAGCCACTCACGATCACCACCACAACCACTAATACCATCATCTTCACCATCAGCATCACTACCAGTATGAGTTCATCACCACAGTTATGTCCATGTCATTCTCCTCATACCATCAGCATCAGCATCAGCATCAGCATCAGTAT